CGCGCAACCTAAATTGCCGGCGATGATGGTGTTGCAACAGCCCAGCCCCTTTTGCACCGGCAAACGAGAGATATGGAAGGAGCAACCCAAAACACACGAAGGGAAGCGAAGCAGCAGATTCATGTGCAAAATCACGTACTATTCAAATACAGTGGCTTAATGGCGCAGCCGTCTGGCCTGCCGAGCTTCACGAAATTTGAAGCATAATCGCCCAAGGGAAACTTCGACACTGCACATTCGAGCACGTCTAGTACGTGCCGTTTGATGACGGCAGGCGTCGGACGACTTTCTGAAGCACCCTTCACGTCTACGTGCAAGTCCAAGGGTAGGATGTGTGACAGAAACAAAGAAAAGCTGACCCAAGTGAACGGATGAGAAGACTCGACCGCAAGCCCCTTGAGCACCGTCTCCATAGAAGAGGTTCCACAAAACAAGTGGAACACAAACCTGCGCTTTTACTTTCTCAACAACGAAGCCATCGCGCATGTGTCCAGTTCGAACCGACTCAATCAGTCTGTTTGAGCAGAATCAACAAGCAGAGAAAAGAGAGAAAGCAAATTCGAAAAGATAAAGAAAAGACTTTGAGCGTAGACCCTAACGTGGCGCTCAATGAGGGTGGCACGACAGACGAGTCCCCAAAGCGCCGTCTTTGCAGAAGAGGTATTCCGAAAACTAAAAGAAAGCAGACCTAGAGTGGAAAGAATTTACCGAAACGACGAGAGTACGTTCAGGTAAAGCAATTTGCAGATTCAGGTGCGAATGCTCACGTGGCGCTCGATGAGGGTGGCTCTAAAGACGAGCCCCTTGAGCACCGTCTCCGCGGGGAGCAGCTTGAACTCGTCCACGTTGAGGTGCAGGAACGCGGTGACGGCTTGCACCTCGGGCGCGGACAGTGTGTGCTGCTCCTTGGTTAACCGGTGGTCGTGCTCGTACAGGTTCAGATACCTGCGAAAAGATTGAAACTTGTTCTCGAAAACCCTTGCTGCGCTCATACATGTTGGAAACCCCCTGAATCATGCTCCTCCACTGAAGGCCCGACGCTTCTTGGAGACAATAATTCACCACCTGGTCGCCCCACAGAATTGACTAGGGAGTAAAGCCGTGGTACTGAAAGTGGACCTTTTGGTGAGTCAAACACTTTGAATTCGCAACCGAGCTGTCAACTCGCACCTACACATTGAACGTCCACCCTCGCTCTTCCAAAGGTCCCAAAGCCCAAAAGCCCAAAAGCTTAACAGCCAGAAAGCCCAAAACCCTAAAAGCCCAAACCCACGAAACGCCTTACCCCTGCAAGCTCGCCCGCGCGCTTGTGCGCCGGTCCTTTTGCTTCGGACGGTTGGCATCCACCGCCATGTCCGTTTCGTCCACGATCTCATCGCGTATGATCTCTTCGATGACGTCCTCCAGGGTGATGATCCCGGTCAGTTGCTCCACGGTGCAGGCCCGGCTCCAGTAGCCCCCGGGAGAGCCCGGGGCGTCGTCCACCGCTTGCGAGACGAGGCGCGTGGCGAAGAGCATGTGGCTGTTGGACGTCTTGAACTGCGCAGAAAGGAACCAGGCGGGGTTCGATTCGAGATGTGCTTTGAGGGGGCTTGGAGAACCCAGACGGGAAGGGTGCTAGATATGAAATGAACAAACGCGGCAAAAACCTGAGACCTGAAATCTGGGAAGGAAGGGAACGTTTGAAACGAGGATGACAGGAAAGGAAGACGAATCGAAAGGGCTTTGCAATCGAGTGTGTCTCTTACAATGCCAATCGAAGTGGACCTTCACTACCTGCGAAAATGAAGCCACGAGGTGCATTTCTGCTTGTTACCGGTTCTCCTGCTCTATCCGACTCAGGAACGGACAGGTAGATTATCGTTCGTTGCTCAGGACTTCCCAGAATATCGCTCGCGTTTGCGATAACCCTTACCTCGTTCAGAACGTAGTCGAGCGTCGTGTCCTCGTTAACTTTCTTGACCTCCCCCCCGTGGAAGGACAGGATTGTGCGGATCTCGACTTGGTCTTGCGGGTCGACCAGGATCAAGTCCTTTGCGTACAGGATGCCAATCACGTTGTGATGGGTGGTGTCGAACACGGGAATGCGCGTGAAACCGGACTTGTAGATCTGCGAAGTACGATCGAGGGATTCGGGGAAGGGTTAGAAGCAGAGGAAGTAACAAGAAGAATCCAAAAATCCAAGGATCATGCATCTTGAGAAGGCACGACAAATGACATACAAAGGAAGAGGTGGTAAGAACAGAAAAGCAACGGAAAACAAACAAGAAACGTCGAGACAAGGCGGCTTAGGGTCGGTTGCGGCCTGAGTATGTACTCCCGAGTAAGTGCGGCACGGAAAAAGCAATGTTTGAAATGCATACGGCCAACTTTCCGTCTCGTACTACGAGAAGGCATGAGGAACTGCAAGAAGGAGGACTCTGGCGAGTAGGTTTTGGCGCAGATCTTAGCGTTTTGTAACAACTCGCTCCTTACGGAGTAACATACGGACCTCACCTCTGTTCTCAGGCATCAGCGACTACTCCAGAACCAACAGCAGCAGCCAATAAAGAAGAAGCCGGCACAGACAAAGACTCGAACTGAAAACACCAACTTAAGATTCGAGAAAACCCAAGTCAAATCTAGAGACCTTATGCCCCCTGACCTCGAAGAGCGTGGAGAAGTCGAGGCGGCGCTTGCAGTCGAGCATGTACACGTTGTCCAGCTCGGTCATGACTTCCCGCACGCGTCGCTTCTTGTACTCCATCACGCCGATGAGCATCCGGTGGTCGTCCTTGGTCAGCCCCGACTCGAGCTGCGCCTCGGGGTTGGTCACGTGCAGCTCGATCAGCTTCTGGATCTCCTCCCTGCGTATTGGTCCAATTCTTGTGTTTAAGTTTAAGCTTCTACCACAAACTAGTGAGATGGGTCAAGTTATCAGTGTTTCTACTACGATCGTGTAGGCAAGGAAGAAGACAGAATATTTTTTGGAATGAACGAAAAGACATACTTTTCGAAAGTGTGGAGCGTAGATAAAAAAAAAGAGTCTTTTTTTTTAGCACAGCCAGCTCAACCTTTGGTTTCCTGCGGGTTTCCCATATATACACTCAAATTATTACATGAGATATTTTGTGGCTCTTAGAGCGCTTACCCTATCTCAGTATTGACATATGATTTTATGCTCATATATCTTATGCTTATTGGGATCCCTGGTATCTCGCGATCAAAATCACAAATTACTCAACAAATCTGCTTCGAACATATTTCTGAGACGATCTTACGGTCATCCAGATTCTTTGTTGGTTTCTGAACACAGTTGGTTGGCTGGTCAATCAGCTTGGCAGAGTTCGGCAGATCATTCGTCGGCAGAGGGCAACCCGGATGGAGCTACTGTCATTGGCAGGAAACTGGTACATTGCAAATGGGACCTTGAAGCTTTGTTGCATTCTAATCTTGGTTGAAAAGCTTGCCCGTTGGCAGCCAGTCTTCCGCAAATGGGACCTTGAAGCTTTGTTGCATTCTAATCTTGGTTGAAAAGCTTGCCCGTTGGCAGCCAGTCTTCCCTAAGACAATCTGGTCGATCATATCTCAAAAGCTCCTACTTGTTGACCAATTGACTGGCGGTTTTCTGGGATTTCTATCTTGCAGGACTGGAAGACCGCAGACGCTGCTGAACAAATATGCACAGAAGCATACTGTCATCTGACGAACATGGACGCTTGACAACGAGCAGCCGTGTTAAACGAAGTTTTCTCAGATAGCAATGATAGAATAGCTTCAGTGGCCCACCTGCTGTACACCATGCCCATCTCACGCCCCAGCATCTTATCCAGCAGCTTCGAAATTGGCCAAGCGATCGGGTAGAAGAGGAATATGAACACCTTAACGACCCATAGGGTATGGGCCCCGATAGCCAGGCCGTGCCGGGAGCATATGGCCTGAGGCAGGATCTCTCCCAGAAGAAGAATGAGAGCGGTAGATGCCAGGAAGCCGACGAGGCCGTTGGTAACCCGGGCCATGGTTATGGCTAACAGGCTGTTAACCGTGACGTTCCCGAGCAGCAGCGTGCACAGCAGGAGGTTTCCCTGTGGGGGAAGAAGGGGGGGATTATGCGTTTGGAAAGAATAGCACATGTGTAATAAAGTGATTACAATAGGATCACTGTGTGACGTGACACTGAGATGCAGGAGGAGCGGCAAGGCTTTCTGATCAAGGTTCGTAGGAGCGGAAAGCGGGGCTGTTATGGTAGGTGACCACTCTTTAGTCACACCATGGGCCTTCCCAGTACTTTTACTGTGTCTGCCATAGAAGGTGACGTCCATCTGAAGGTCCAAAAGATAACCTTCTTGTCACATCAGAAGCGGTTGAGTGGCGTTAAACTTGTAGCTTTAATCCTTAAACAGAAGTAACTATTCTGAAACACACTGTCGCAAAGTGGTCGGGGAATCAGCACCAAGTTTCGGAGATAGTGGAGCACCTTAAAAGCGCGGCAACTTCCAGCACCATTGGAATGCGCTCCAACGAAGTCTTAGGATTTCGAAGGTGCCTTGAGCTGGCCTTCCAGCTAGAGCACAATTGAGACCTAATGCTCGTCCACATAGTTTTTTTCAGATCTCAAAAGTTGCAACCTTTGAATCTCTATGCTTTGTACGTTTGACCACCATTGTGAAGTGCGCATATCAGAAAATCCCCAAGAGGGCACTGAGACCTGCATTAAGCTCGGGTTCATCGAGATCCTGCAGGTTGAAGTCGCTGTCCAATCATGACCGCCTCAGTTACATCAACTACAATCTTTGCATCGCCAGAATCTGATGCAGGTCACTTCATGCTCACCTTTTCTCGAATGGGGGCGATGGCGCGAGCGTGCCTCCTCTCAGCAGGGTCCCCCCCTTCTTGCAGGATCTGCAGCCCCAGCTTGTCTAAGCTCATCAGGCCGAGCGTCAGTCCCGAAAATATGGCACTCAGCACCACCAGAATGGTTGACAGGAACCCGTCCAAAACCCAACCCAGGTCTGGTGAAGGAGCCGTCCATCCAGCGTCAAGGAGGCAGTCCTCAAGGCAGGCTGTGGAGTTGACACACAGCGCGAGGCACGCGTCCAACGACATGATGGTGTTATCAGCAGATCAGCTGCTGAGCTGGCGGTGATTCTAACAGGGTGGTAGCCCCCCTAGGGAGATCCGAGATTGATCAGTCTTAGAAGCAGGCTTTAAAACGTGTTGCTGTTGCTATTCACTCAAATATGATGCTCTCCATACAGAACCCTAATTCCATCTGCGCTCAATTACAACCCCACATCTGCTGTTCGAAGCAGTCATACTTGTGCAATCTTCACTTTTAACGACTCCAGACAACAAAAAGAAACGACAAAGAAGCTGGGGCCTGCCCGCTCAGCTGTCACCAAACTGGTCTGTAGTGCATTTTTGAGACGTGTCGTTGCTCACATGCACTGATCAGAATGAAGCAGAGTCTTCAGCGCGATTCAGAGCAAGGTCCTGAAGAAGGACATCTCAGCTTGATCCGATCCTACCGTCACATGCATGGCGTGCGCCTCAGCAGTTCGTGAAGGAAAGCTCCACACTTCATCCTGGGGCGCTCTGCACCGAATTAAGTCCACATGATGAACTCACACACACAAGTTGAAGTTGAACTTGAACTTGAAGTCAGCTTGCTCTGAAAGCATGCGAGACTTTGCTAAGAACTAGAGCCGGAGTGCGAAACAGTTGCTTTCCTCAAGGGCCTACAAACTTGTACCCGTTGATTACGAAACCTCACCGGCTCACTGTAACCTGTAACCGTCGATCTCTGAAGATGAGCAATATGGTGATCGGACGGTGCTCAAGCCTGAGTTAGCAAGCCAAGATTTTGAGCTTGAGTCATAGCAGCTCGTTCTGCTTACACAAGTCGAGCTAGAATGGCGTTTGTACTTCACGGCCCGCGTCCGCTTAAATCGGTCGTTTTGCTCTTAGTGCACCCTACGTTCTCTAAGAAAATCCTGTACGATTCCCTATGATTGGCAGGTTTGCATGTGTGTTTTGTGTGCGTTGTCAAGCTCGTTGAACGTGTGTGAACCATACCATATATGGCAAGAGGCTGGGTGCATTCGACAAGATCCTATTGCAACAAATTGACGATTGAGACATACTGCAACGGCAGATCAGGCGTTCAGCTTGTCTATATCAACAGCCCGCAGGCTCTCTTATCATCAAGGCACTGCTAAGACCAACCAATTATTGCAGAGCTGCAATCACGAGAAAGCAACGGTCCTGTTCGTAATTATTTGCGTTGCTGCTAGCCGCCAGTTGCTTATTCCAAAGAAGCCCAAGATCGGCCGCAGTAGAACCCTTCTCAACAAGAACCCTCTCGATAGACACACAGTCGCGCTACGTTGACAAGACACTTACACGACAACCCTTCGATAAATACAACCTAAGCGTCCGGTCAAAGCCCGCCCTTCTTGTCCGCATCCACCGTCCACACCTGATCATCCCCTTCCCTCAACTCATCCCGTTTCGGTGCAACCTGTGTGGGCGGCGCAACCATCGGCCCTGGTTGTCCGGTAACCTGTCCTGGCATGTAACCCGGCGACAAGCTAGACTGACTGGGGGCCGGGCTGCTCATACTCGTTTGTGACTTGAAACTCTGCATCGCCAGTTCGGTGCCTTCCTTCGGCAGCCCGTGTTCGTCCCGCTGGCTCTGCTCCTGGGTTAGCGGATAACCCACGCCGAAATGCCCGGGGCGTCGGATGAAAGCGGCCTCTTCGATGTCGTAAAACTCGGCGGTCCGGGTTTCCTGGAAAGCGGAACACGACCAGATTGAGCAAGAGAGACTTAAAGGACTGGTGGTGAGAAGAGGGGCGCGATTCATCAGTAAGGGCGTCGTACCGAGGACAGACATTGTTTTTGTTTGACCCCGACGCGTCCCCACCCTAGATAGCCGGTGGCAAAGTATTTTCACCAAACAGGGATGCAGAAAACCTCTTCACGAGAGGTTTTCGGATCGACTTTTCCGATCTTCGCCCCTGCCTCACGTTGGTTACATCCTACCAACGCTTCGGATAAGGAAACGTTGCTTGCATCCGGCTAAACCTTGCCTGAAAGTGCAACGTCGCTCGCATCTGGCGAACACTGCCCAAAACGCCCGGCTTCCAGAAGAACGACACAACATCTTTCTGCGACACGAGAACGTCTTGAACGGGCCTCGAACCGAGGGCGGTTTCCTCTTAAGCGAGGCCATTTCGGTAGCTGTCGAACTAGTGAATGGTAAGCAAGCTTCTTGGGTTGGACTAAAAACCAAAGTTTCACGCGTTCTGCACTCGAACCTACCCTAACCCCCTAACCAATCCCACCCGTTCCACTGACTATTCCCTGGGCTTACTCTCTGGTTAATCAGGTGAAAGGCGACTTCGTACCTGGGCGAGAGAGCAGCACGGGACAATCAGCCACGAGACGAGGTCGCCGAACGTCTTGCACTTAGTGGCCCAGGACTTCGGCGGCAGCTTGAAGCGCTTGCGCATCTGCGTGCGCCAGTAGCCGCCGTACATGAGACCACACACAGACAGGATGGCGCCAGTGATCCTGCAATCGGTGCACGACTTGGGTTAAGGACGTTGCAGGATCAATTTCGCAGGGGCATGATTCAAAAAGTTGTTGCTGAAGGGATCAATGATCCACTGTAAAAGGTGACTTTGCAAGTTCGCAACTTTCAAGAGTTGTGGCTCGGGACGTGAACCCCGGATTCGAGTTTGCAAACGAACAAAATGGAGCCTTTGATCCTGCAGAAGATTTGCAGATACGGTCATGCTTTCCAGGGGCGCAGTTTCAGGGTCAAAGGGCAAACAAAATTTCTGCTCAATCGGAACAAATAAGGTCGCTTACGGAAGGCAGAAAACATGGGCGTTTTGCTGGACTGCCAGGTTTGGACGGAAGACTCACGTGAGCGCGTTTCGGACGTTGCCGTCGAGGTTGCCGGCAGCGAGCGTGAAGACGAGGAACGGGGCGGAGCAGAAGAGCATGAAGGAGACGGTGTGAACGAGCCCGTTGCCCAGGCCGAGGCGCTCCATGTTGTGGCCGAAGACGCAGAAGCAGAACGTGAACGACAGGAGGCACACCTGGGAGAAGAGACCCAGGGTAAGTCGGGAAGATCTGCGTTGGAGTACGGAGCAGGTTTGTCCGCTCCGTGAGCATGGTTAAGCAGCGAGATACGAAAACAAGGCCGTAAGGCCCCACGGAAACTACGAAGAGATTGTGGGAACGCGACAATTTGAAATGGGAACCGGAACCGGAATCCGCACCGGAACCCTCAGGATTCTGAAAGCTCGAAAGCGATACGAGGGGCACACAGAAGGCTCTCAACTGGTCGGTAGCAGAAAGCGATCGTACAGTCACATCTGTCGGTGAGCGGTTTGAGACCTTACACCTTTTGCATCTTCTGGAAAAAATGCGAGAGAAGGCCTTTTCGTGAGGTGGGGGTTTTTTCAAGGCGAGCAAGCATCCGAAGGACGGGCGAAGGTTCAGTGACGCTTAAGGTGTCTGGAGTTCTCGAATTCAATCTTGGGGGTTTGTGCAGTGTCGATGGTTGCTGATGTTTCAGAAGATCACTAAATCCGGAAAGGGATGTTGGGTTGGACAATGCATACAGGAGGCGTGCCCCTGGCATTGTTCATCAGGCTTTGATATCCTAAGGGCAGCCTCTGTCCGAAGGTTCGATCGGTTAGAACATTTTCTTCTGCAGATTCGTATTCCAGCACAGAAAATAACGTGGCCCCCTAACTACGCAGACCCCTCCGCTTCCGTGTTCCACTTTCGTTTTCCTCCTCAACAAAATCCCTCCGCTTTGTACATAATCTGTAAACTTTTCGGCATGCAACAGCCAGACTCGTTAATCTCGTGAAGGGGAGAAAATTTTACCGCAGCCCGATTCGCTCCGGCCTTCCTGTCAAGTTAGCAGATCTCCTGTTCCACTTTATTTGAGCACACTAACAATCCCTTTCTAAGTCTACTTTAAAGGCAATCTTTTCACACTCTCCGCACTGAACCTCCTCACCTTCTTGTTGTCCAGGCACCCAAACGTCCGCCCGTGCCATTGCGGGTCCGTGACGATCCCCACCGTTCGCTCCTCCCGCTGCACCATCGACATTCGGCGCGCTAGCTTGCCCCCCTCTACCTCCTCTTCCATCTCAACATAGTCATACGTCTTCCCCAAGGGACTGACGATGAGATAAATACTGGCGGCAATGCTGAAACCGATGGCGGCGCAGAGAGTGACCGCGACGCCGATCGCTGGGCGGTCGTGCCTCGAGTAGCCCCAGTTCAGGCCGGCAAGGGCATACTGCAAGAAGAAAGAGCAAGTGGTGTCTTCGATCATTTTTTTGGTCCAAGAGATTGTCGATGGGGTCGCTCTGTTTGCTTGGCCTTATCGTACTGATTCGCAATCGACTTACTCAGCAAAATCGGGCACAATCCTGGAAGGCCAAGCGGGAACACATAAGCGAATGGGCACCCAATTAGGGGGCATCAAAAATAGCAAGTTCAAACAGCGCTTTCAACGCCACTTTGAAGCGAGACATGTTAAGTATCGGATTAAAGGAAGCTTTTCAAAAGCATATCAGTCGGTATATTCTGAGGATAGATACGAAAGGCGTGGTTTGCACAGTTAAAGGGCAGGTGGGATGGCAGCTTCAGGATGCAGATTCGGAAGCATGTTGAGGCATTTCCCGGCAGCATATCGAAACGGCACAGTTCAAGGGCGAGAAACTAAATGCCGCACTTCGAGGGCATATCTGGGCACACTTTGAGGGGGAGGCGTGTTTCGGACGCCATGCTGCGGACGCCTATTGATATGAAAAATGGAGTTCCACTCCTTACCTGGGAGAAGCAGTTCATGTTGAGGAAGAAGACGACGACACTCATGTGCTTCCACTCGTTGGGCTTGCGCACGTTGCCCTTGCAGTACACTTTGCGCATTTTCCTGATGTCGTTCTCGTTCCAGCGGTACAACCGGTTAGCGTGCTGCAGGCGGCTGCGAATCGAAGACACATGTAAGGTTACACGATCACACGACTTTAACAACTCCATCTTACAATTTCTCAATTTACGACAGTGGCGATTGGTTAGAACTGGTCAGGATGGGGCATGCTAAGAGAGAAGCGTTTATTGGGCCTTTCGTGGATGCACTTCCCATTCCAGCAGTACAGCTGGTTCGCCCTGCTGCGGGCAGCTGTAAAAGACAAATCTTCACAGCATGCGATTCTCTACAACCAATTGTTCCAGTATATGATTGGAGGTGAATGCGGCTTCGAAGAGCCTGGACCACCTTCTGTTAGTTGCGAAAAGGCCGCATTTACTTGGTCGTTTGTAAACTAACCGGATCACCCCCACGGACTCTCCTCTGTTCTCTCACGATGCATTTGAGCATTTAGATTCGTAGATTTTAGTCCGATCCACACAGTGCGCAACAGATTGCTCGTAAATACCCATCAAATCTGAGAAAAGAAAGTAGACACTGCAGCTGTTTTTACCACTTTCGTCTGCAGGTATCGACCTCAAAGATCCGAGGCCTGGAGGTTCCTGAATCTGAAAGTTGGCTTCTGGCTTGTCCACTAGCGTGAACCAGGATGCACGTGAGTCTAAACTGAACGAACACAACATCTTCTACGCAGCGAAATCTGGATAATTTCGGCAGCGTTCAAGATCTAACTTTCAGATTTCTCGACGTTCAAGGTTTGGAACGGTTTCAGAGATGGACATTCGCTCACATCGGGTGGACTAGGATGCACATGAGCGTGAAGAGCCCGTTGATGATCTGGTTGCAAATCTCGAACAAAGTGTTGCGCTGGCTCTTGCTGAGCTGCGCGTTGAGCATGCCCGTCATCACGAAGAACAGGATCGCGCCCGACACAACCACCCCCAGGATCCAGAACAGGAGCGCAATGTTGAGGGGCTCCTTGAGCCAGGTTCTGCACATAAGATCTCAGGCTATTGATGTTTCATGGGGGAGAATCGGAATCTGCGGGGACAGGAGACAGGGATATTTGATTGAAGAAATGGAAGGGTCTGTGTCCTGACGGCCACCCACAGAATCCAGAAAAGGAGCGCCGCACTAAGGGATTCGGAAAAAGCGTAAGAGGTTGCGCTCAGGGGCGACAGGAAAAGGACTACTTTTTAACAAGGCATTGAACTTCAATGTTCTTTTAGGAACACTTCGGGAATACCTCGTAGGAAGAGAGGGTGGGTCCACCGAAATAATCAACTCCCCAGACCCAGACCAGGCGCAATTGTCAGGAATTCGCCAGGGACGTTTGTGGGAGAGAATGGAGAGAAGCGCAATCAGGTGCGGAGGAAAGGTGGTTCTGTAAACCACCCAACCCAGGAGGGCCAACCTCAGCTGCTCCTACAAATCATTTTGCAGAAGAGGCTATCAGTCAGGCATCCAAGCTTTTCCGGCACATACAGCTTTGCAGATATGCAGTAGCTTGACTGAAGACTGACGCCTGATGCACATGGTTTAGAATCAGTTACAAGGTGAACTTAAGGTGTTTTTGTCTTGGAAGCAAGACCTGGCCTCGCAACTCACATTGCCTGCTTTCGCAGTTCCTCCCAGGTTACCCTGCCTAGGAAGGGGACGTCGATTGCAAGACGATGCTTCGACTCTGCTTCGGTGAGCGGCTCCGACTCAACTGCGGCCGACTTTTCCTCCTTTACCTCTGCTACTTTCTGGACAAGAAAATGATGCAGTTCTGTTAGTCGTCCCTTTCTTGCCGGTCCTTTTCAACTACGGTAATATGCCCTTACAGGTTCATCTTGCATCTAAGTGTTTTCTGATCCAGAATACTTGTCTACTGTTCTGTTCACACTCCTTCCAAGCATTACCTTTATCAACGTCAAAAGATGTTTGATTCTTGAATCGCTTTTCCACTCTTGTTTGATTGCCAATGTTGTTCTCGTCATTTGTATCAGCTTCATTTTCTCTTTTTCCTAACATCTTCAACCTTCCCACAACCCTTTGTATCGATGACGTAAGTTGAATGCAATTGCAGTATGTCCCAAATGATCCATCTTTGTCGCAATTCACTTACTGACCCTCTAAATCCACAAAATCAAAATCAAAATCTCACAGCGTGCCAGAATTACCATCAGATTCTTGCATTTTCCAAACACCTGACTTTCTTGCCACGAAGATATACCGCCCCGTAAGCATCATTCAGTCAAAGCAGGTCGGACTCACATCAACAAACGTTGACGACCGGCGAAGGGACGGCGTCCGAGGCGTCCGAGGAGTTTGGCTGGAGGCCCTGTTGAAGGTCGGGGTGGCAGTGAACTGTGGAGTCGCCAGGGGCGCCTTGTCCCCTGACAAGGCCCCATTCTCAGGGACCTTTGGCAGTTCAATTGGAGATGGCCGGCCCTTGAGCCCGTTCTCACCAGTGGGGCGGGAGGCAGTGGCCTTATCTTCGTCCGTCATGGTGTGAACAACCTGTCAGAACAAGAACAGCTTTCTCGTGACCATGGAACACTTGCGGTGTAAAAGCAAACAAATATCTACTCTTTATCATCAAAAGACACAACTGCAAATCCGAGAAGTATTGGCTTTGCAAATCTTTGAAGTGTGTGTGGTGGGAGAAGTGGTTGGCTGCAAATCTGAGAGTACCACCAAGCAACTTATCTGCTAAATGCAATTGTTGAACTGTGCAAGAACAACTTCTCTTTATCGAAACACTTTGTACCTGGAAGCGGAAAACATACGCAGACTTTCAAATCTGCGAAGCATGCCATCTTCATCTTCAGGACTACTTGACGCAAAGCTTATGTAAGTCTTGAAATGTAATATGCACCCAACATTCTGCTAGCTCAGATGGCTCTCAAAAGAGATAGACAGTCCACAGCCCCGCACTTCCTACTGACAGCATTGTGGCGTCCCAATGATTCCGTTAGGTTATTGAAGGACAAACAAAGCTCACCTGATGGAATACTAGACAGCGAGACCAACACCAACGCTTGTCCTCCCGTGGTTCTTGTCTATTCAACTCAAATGCTGCCAACTACAGACTTCGTTGAACACAACCAGATTTCTTTCTCCTTACTTTATATGCCGTAAAGGTCTTCTGACCGCCAAAGGCGGCGTCAAACTGCTTTTCGACAGTTGAGAAGAAGCAGCAAAAGCAGAAAGTGAGGAAGAAAGCAAAAGGAGACCAGGTTGCTCTTGGAACTGCGTCAGTCCTGAGGCACCAGGCACGCGATACTTCCTGTTGTCCTGCTTCACTGTAGCAACAGAAGGCGGGCAAAAGACCTTCTTCCTGCAATGCTGCGCCCCCTACAGTACCTACCTAGGATTTACAAAGAAAGGTAGCCATGCCAATGCCATGGCCAGCACACTGACGTCAGATCTCTGACATCAGTTCAAATTGCCAGGGCCAGCTGGCAGAATCTGAGTGGGTGTCCTCGGGAAACCGCGCGAACCTCGATCAGAGCTGTTTAGGGTTTGAAGAGACGTCCCGGTTGATTGGGGCGTTAGGGTTTGAGGGCTTTTTAACCTAAAACTCTAGAACCCTAAAACACTGCACGAGAAGAGAGCCTTTCCTGCTTCAACTTGAAGTTGCATGAATTGCCTTCAACTTTCTCACCGGAGTCAGAGTCAAGGGGTGCCCTGGAAGTTCTCAGACGCAGCAGCCATGGCGGCCTCGTCGGTCAGCATCAACGTGATGCTCGCCATCCACGGCAAGAAGACCCAGGCATTTGACCTTTACAAGCCGCTCCGGAATTACATCGTGCATCACTATTCGGAGAGGGAGGCGCAGGATGCTGAGGACGACTTGCGGGCGGTCCAGGAGATGCGGCTGCAGGTTGTGGCGGCGCAGGATGCCCTGGAAGCAAGGCGGGACCTCCTGCAAAAGTAAGTTTTCTTTGTAAAGCTGTTTGTACTTTCAGGAGATTAGGTTTCTCGGGAGTCTATTTAAGATGCGCATGCACCAATGAAGTTGCAATTGCGTGTCTGTAAGGTGGAGCTGTCATTGCTTATGTACGGTGCTTCAAAGGGCATATGTGTTTCAATTGATTCGCTCATTCTGCTGTGAGACGAGCCGGTTGTGTTGGAGAAATGAAGTAGATCATTGGCCAAAGTGTTAGCTCAAGCTCAGAAGCATGATTTACTGGGGGAGTGACTGAATTGGGGGACTATGGACCCAAAGTTGCATGCAGAGCACTGAGGAAGACTTCCCTCGCAGTCATTATGCTTGCTATAGTGTCATGTACACTATCTTCCGCTAGCTATATTGGCTTTGCCTCTTTTGCAATCGTGGGCACTTTCGCATCACAATTATCTGCTGCATTAGGTGTGCTTTTTCCGATGATTAGAAGAAGTGAGTTTTGACATCTGATCAAATTTGATCGCAGTTCATGTCTGCATTCTGAGTGCAGTTAAAGTACAGTTACGTGGTCGTTTTAAGTTCTAAAGTATATAAACAAACTCCAAAGTTTCTGTTCAGCTTTGATGGATGGTGGATCGTAGTTTCAACCTTAAAAGCAGTTTTGAGAGATTGCATCAGCAGCTTGTTCATGCGCTTGAGACTGGAGGCAGATTGTTCCTGCACTGCTCTGAGAAAAAAAGTCGTCGATCCAAGTTTAATGCGACAAAAAATGCTACAATTATAGCTATGGTGGGAAGATGCTCGCCGAAAGGCTTCCTCAATAAACAAAAACATGATGGTATATCAAGTGGACTCCCCTACCTTCTGCGAACCCTAATTGTAATTCGTGCAGCTTGCAAAAGAATGATCTAAAGCTTATGTATAGGGACACTTATCTACAGGGTGTACAGCTCCCCCCCTTTGTCGAAAAGATTGTATACGGAGAGCCGATGTTCTGTCAAGGGTGTTCCCGACCAAGGGCACCAAATTTTGACATAGTATTCTTCCTGCTTCATCGCATTCGTCAGCTATAACACTCCAAACATTGTCTTCCCTGTGCTGATCCCCAAATCCAGTAATGGGTAGCACTTTTGCCACGTATCTTGAATGCAATATTCCGTATTCACTGTCTCCTCCATGTATTCCAGATACTTCCGGGCGCTTACTGTCATGGAGTCACGCTTCCCAATCAGCACAGAGCGGGAGCACGTCAACACCGTCACTTTCACATGGTGGGATGCGTTCAAGAATGCCAGAAAGGCGTCTCAACAGAACATTCATTTTGAGAAAGCGGCCATCATGTTCAATCTTGGGGCAGTGCAGAGTCAGCTGGGGCTGAATGCAGAGCGGTCGACAGCAAACGGCCTCAAGCAAGCATGCAACTGCTTCCAGGTAAGCTGGCTTGCGCATCTTTTCCTCCAGACTCTTGGGAACAGCTGACCTTGTTTGCCTGCAGGGTTTCTAAGTTCAGGGCACTGGCTGACTCTACTGCCCCTAGGCTCATGCCTTAACGTGCTACAGATTCGAAAAGTGCACTTTATCTTCATCAATTCAGACCAACCACTTTTCGTGCTGGCACATGCACCTGCTTGGAAGTGCCTCTCTATCATACATCAATTTGGCGGGCCCACATGAAGAGATTGGTCGTTCACTGTTACTGGCTGGGGCAGCTACACATAACAGAAAGAATGTGTCAGACAAGCGGGTCTATCATTCACCCTGTGTTTGTTGACACCGCAGGCTGCCGCCGGTGCGTATGCATACCTGCGGGACAATGTTGCGATGAAGGCCAACCCTGACCTGGCAACTCCGGATATCTCCATCGAGTGCGCGGGCATGCTTGAACGCCTCATGTTGGCGCAGGTGAGGGGTTTTGAACATGTCGGAGTGATGAGTTTTCCTTTTCCGTTCGCTATAGAATCTGCCCTGAGTAGTCTCTCTCAAGCCTGTGGCCGAAAGTAAACTCCAAACAGGGCAAGGTGTTCATTCCAATACCTCGCTTCCAAATTAGAAATGGAAAGCGTCCTGAGTGTGCTGGCTTACCTTTCTGTTTTGGACATTCCCCCGGACGATATGCAATGTGTCGATGCTGGCCATCGATCGGCCGGGAGCAATCTTGCCGAGTCTGAATGTCGTCCTTTCTGCCAACCTTGCTCGTGCAGGCCCAGGAGTGCTTCTTTGAGAAGGTCACAGCAGAGAACAAGTCGTCCACCCTTTGCGCCAGGATTGCCAAGCAAGTTGGCCTGTTCTATGAGGAGGCATATGCTGCACTGGTGCTTCCCCCTCTGAATCAGCACTTCGACAAGGTTCGTAACAGCCGTTTTCCCAAGTTCAGAGTCTGGAACGGGGGGCTTGGGCAAGCTACCATTTGCAAGCTTGGCAACTAATTCCAATCCCATTCGGTTAGGCAAGATACAGACGCAATGTTCCCCCGCTCAAGAGAGTCGGCGTTTATCATTGGGTTTGTAAATGAACAGCAAGCTACTCAAGATGAGGTCAATGCTTGATGGAAGTCCCATCGCTGTCGGGGGGGCAAACGGCCATCTTTGATCTGGCAGCAGCATCGCGCTCACTGACGATCGTCGTGGAAAGCTGCCTATTGCAGTCTTGTGCTCATGTTTCACTGTTGATCAGGAAATCCGGGACAGCATCTCTGCTTCGACAAAGGGGTCTCTACCAAAATCCTGATGAAACTTCATAACCCATGACTGCAACATGCGCTCAAAGAAACGAGCGACTTCTTTGCTGCAGTCCTGGGTTTCCCATGTCCAGCTGAAGGCTGCTCAGTTCCACGGAGAGGCCCTGTACCGGGTGTCGTTGGATCTGCACGCTGCAGAAGGTGCGCTGTTTTTCTCATATAGGGCCCACTTCCGAGGCCTCACGGTGTCGTTGTCTTTTTTCTTTTTCGTTCGTGCTTTTTGAATGCATTGTTCGTACACATCAGAAGGCCGAACGACCATACGACCATCTGGCTTGTCAGTGGCCTGCATTTTTTACTTTTGGGGTTTCGTGCGTGCTTCACCCCTGGATTACTGTCTGCGAAGCTCTTGAGAAGTAAATTGCGGAAGGTTGGGAAGGAGGGTCATTCGCAAGCATATTTGCTGGTAAGGCGCCGATCAAATCGTTACTGGTTGCCTGAGTAAGGCGGTTTGCACAAGCACGCTGGAATCTACCCGACGGATGTGAATCTGGTGTGCAGAGATTGACAAGGAGATAGCGCGGTTGAAAGCGGCTACCACCATCCTGGCAGATGCGAAGAAGGTGGGTGTTCTCCTTCATTGATGTCAGCCGAATAGAGTCGTTAATATTGACAGACTTAAGCAACCTTGTCGGTGGAATCTTGTCAATATCGACGATTGCGCTGTGGGCTGGTTGACTTGATATCGTCATCAAAAAGGATCCACGTAGCTGACGAGTATGTGCATCGAATTGCTCGTGAAGTAAGATTGCTCTGCCTACTACCGTGTTGCAGCAAAGCAAGGGCGTAACTGGGCCGCTCATGGACGCTGTGACGAAGCTTGAGTTGAATGTTACGCGCAACCTGGAGCGGGCAAACAAGTAAGACGTCCCTCCAAACTCCTAGTCGTAGATCATGTCGTTTGATTGCACTCTTGACGATCGGCTTTCGGTAAGCTCGATAGCAGCGGTAGGAAAAACCGTTAGGCATTGTCTTTGATCGGTTCTCTCTTTCAGTGAAGCTCGAACGGCGCAGCAATCATCAAGAAGAAGCTGTCTCTTGCTATTCAAGGAGGAGGATACGAAGAGTTATTGGTACGGATTGTCTGGAAGGTTTTTGGAGATGGTCGAGTTTCGAACAATTCGCGAGTCGAGCAAGGTAAAATGACCGAAGTCATTCTGACATTATTCGTCTGCAGGGAGAACGACCGGGTGTACCTGATGCGGGTCCCACACAACGACAGCCTGCCTGCTATTCAAGCAACCCCATTGGTGAGCTCGTCTCTTGCAGCAAGATGTGAATGCATATGCTGGCACCGACTTGAGCCCTTTGTTGGATCAGCAGGAAACTCAACAACAGTGGCTGGAACGAAGTCGAGCTCTGAGATGGAATAGTCTTCGTTGTCATGGATTCTCCTTAGAGAACATTTGTTCGACGTAAAAGCATGTGGTACGAGCACAGCAAACCTCAACGAGGCTTTGAAGGATGTCGAATTGCCTGGTTTTACCAGAACACCTCCACAAGGGTATAAGAGTCCTTCCTGGTCCTTACTGGTTATAAAAGCAGCGGGCCCTCCAAGCACCTCAACGTTGCACGTTTGGGCTTCGGTTTTTGACGAACCTGGGGAAGACGACAAAGGAAATACTGGAGGCTGTTCAAGCAATTTATGATCGACTTATCGACCCCCTCTTTCACAGAAGACTGAGCCATTCAAGTTGAACGGTGTACTGGATTGTGAAAGATGCCTTTTGGAAACGTTAGTGTCAAACCTTGAAATCCCGAGATCTTGTTGTCTCCTCGTCAATGACGAGATTCTGAAATCCAAAGTACTAACCCGCAGGTCAAGTCAATGAACCTGGACGACGCGCTGGACCCGAACAAGGAGAAGATGTTCACGGGCCTCGTCCCGGACAGCAGCGCCAAGGCCCTCTCCAGATACACCGAAATGGTGGATGACATCATCCGGACGCACAACAACAAGCTACAGCAGGAGAGCGATGTCACCAGGGTGCGCCTCAAGGAGATGGTAAGAAGGGCAGTTTTTTCGTTGCTTCTTGACTTTAGAAGGGTTGTGAATGCTGTCGGCACTCGTTTGTCTTGGCCCCTGAAGCACAGTACGCATCGGAAAAACATTGTCTCTTAAATTCGTGGAGTCAAGTCAAGGTCGAGATGCGACGGCTGACGATGCTTCTGGTAGCCTGCTTTTGAATGCTTCGCCCCTGGATAAACGGAATCAACGTTACATCAAACGCATATCGGACAAAAGCAAGCACTACACAATCAGAAAATGCTACTAATTGGCAAGGGTTACTGGGAATTTCCGTATCGTACAAACTCGAAGGGGGAACTCATTCGGACGTCCAAACTTTGCTGCAGGACCTTCCGGACGTTCTGCTGGCGCTGGATGGCAACATCCAGCTTCCCGAGCAGCTGCGGGATGACGTGGAGGCGGTCCAAGTGGAGGGGGCCACCGCTGCGCTCGAGCAAGAGCTGCAGCACCTGCGGGAGCTCCGAAAGGAGAATGGTGAGGAGGGAAACTCTCAGTCTCCTCAGTCTCCTACGGTAGTGGGTCATCTTGATTCGGTTACAGCAGTCCACACCGAACGGGTCTTGAGGATATGGCGAAGGGACTACCTGGAGGTTTGCACCTTTGGTTCCTGCTCAGGGCGGTCGCTCAAAGGGTGGAAGTAATCAGTTGCGAACGTTATTGCAATCTGGATGCGTAGCCAAAATTTTGAAGCTTGGGTGTCACTGGAGGCTGCAAGACTTCTGATTTTGAAGAATTTGTGGAGCGGGCTTTTGCTTCGGGGTCCATAAGTTCCAGTCAACTTCCGTTGTAACCTTGGGGCATCGACTTTTTGGTTAAGAGTATGTTGTCTGACCATACGCATTGATCGCCTAAGCGCAGAACGTTTAGGGAGTCCTGCATGGGGCTCAGCATTGATCAAAAGTCGTTTTGCTCACTTTACGATACCAGAGGCGCTGGTGACCTTATATATCGCTCACTTTATAATAACGCTCACTTTATATCCCTATATATCCCTATATTGTTTTGGGATCCGTGCAGAGCGGTTGCTAGCGGAGACGGAGGGCCTCTTGGAAAAAGAGGAGCGGGACGACGGGCAAGTGCGGGCCCAGTTCGGGACGAGGTGGACCAGGTACGCGCCCCTTCTTTCAATAAGTTTTCGGGGTCATCTGAGACCATACTGCGCTGATCTCCTTCATCAAAACTTTGGAATCATAGGCCTCCATCCTGCCTCCGGTGATTCGCCGTCTTGTTTTCCGTTGTGCAGATGGATAACGAAGCACTGCCAGTGACCTCTTCTTGCTTTTGTTCTTGAAATTTTGCGAGATTGTGCATGAGCCGAGCTTTAAGGATGCAGTAGGCAGCGCTCTACGGAGTTCAGCTGCAGACGTGTGACGAGTGTCGTAGGCAGCTTCAAACACCTCTGAACACCTGTATTTTACGAGGATCTGAACGGTGTCCATTTTACTCTGCAGGCCGCAGTCGAGCTCGCTGACCAAGAACCTAAAGGACCGCGCCAACGGCTTTGCGTCAAACTTGAAGCAGGTACGAGCAAACAAATTCACTTTCTCGTCGTCACTCGAACCTGGCCCCGAGCACGACGTCCTACTTCCATTTCTTCACGATTTCGCCTTTGCTCGTAGTCCCTTTGCAAATGGCTTCCTATGTGCTGGTATCCGTACCGGAACTCTGGTTCAAAATCAATGTTTTCTTTATGTACGAGCAGTCGGCGTCCTGTCCGAAGATTAGTCAAGTCATTTGGCCTAACTTCAATCGTTTTTGCTACAGGCTGGTGAGAGCGATGCACGGATCGAAAAGACCATCAAAGACCTGGAGCCGCTACTGTCCATTCTCAAAGTCCAGCCGGTAAAGATCGTTTCCCCTTCTCGGCTTTGGTTCGTAAATGGTTGTGCAATGTTCTTTGCCTCCCTTTGGAGGGGTGGATTCCTGTACTTTCTGTGCGGTTTTGGTAGCCTTCGGTTTGGGTGTCCTTAAAGATTCTCGTTTTTTGTATGCAAGAACATGTTTCAAGAAAATTATGCGTACATAAATCACACTGGAACTCGCAGCCTTACGATCCTCGATGTTGGACAGATCCTTCGTTCACCTACAGTATCCTCCTTGTCCGTGAGCTTTCTGTTTAGGCTCAGATGGTCCGAAGGGGTGCACTTTGTCACTTGAATTAGAGCCGCTGCAATGCAGCATTACGCTCGCAGCAAGCTGACCAGCTTTTGGGCGTCTTCATGTTTGCAGATTGAAGCGGCCATCCCCCCTCTTGCTAAGCCGATTGTATCCGTACACGGAAACGAAGACCAGGTCGCTCATGGGCTGCGTCAGCTACTGGTAAGACTTAGTCACTGCGCTTTTGACCTACTTTGCGCCCCCATACAACCGCTGTTTTGCATCTGGGTGCTTCATGCGCATACGTGAATGGATGGAAGGATCTCCATGCAGAAGACGGAGTGTAAACGCTCTTGCATCTGCGGGACCGGCCTGTCTTCTATATCGATGCCAGATCTTATCCTCGTTTGTTGGTACAAATTAGGTCGTGCTCTTGAAAAGTTGCCGAACCGGCTCGCTGCTTTGTACTTTTACTTTGCCTTGAATTCTTCGCCCTTATGAGCCTTGGATGCACCTTCTGATGCTTCCGCCCGATACTTATGCGTCTCGGTACGCGCTCTGCCTGCAGAACGAGCTCGAGAAGGTTGGCTCGCAAAGAGCTGGGCTCGAGGATGCACTCAAGAGCATGAAGCAGAAGGTAGGTCGTGGAAAATAAATTTGAGTGTAAAGCTGAGCCGTGTGAATCCAGTAGTCTCGTCCGGAGACATCGGGCGGGCGTTGGCCTCAGACCTGACTGGTACCTGCGCTTAGAAAATGCTTCGAGTGCTTTAGAGATTTGTCGTAAAGTTGAGCCGTTCAACCCGGATCTTGAATCAGCTAAGGAATCAATGTTAGGGTTTTGCATCTCTGGTCCAAGCTTTTGTGCAGGAACCTGATGTGACTAGCGACTTTCTTTTGACCCGGTTCCTCCCTTTCGTTCTGCAGGACAACATTCTGCCGCGGTTGATGACATACTCGGGGTCGTACGAGGAGCTGTTCAAGAAGGAGCTGGCAAAGTATGACGCCATCACGGCGGACGTGCAGAGCAACGTGGCGCGCCAGGAGGAGCTGCTCAAGCTCATCAAGGTGCGCCGCAGCGCCTTCACCTCTTTATGTTACTGGATTCAGAATCTTCTGCTGCTTATTTGATTGGGCTGGGCCTGCACCTCTTTTCTTGTCTCGTTTACGAGAAAGTGTCGAGTCTGTTGAAAAGAAGGCAAGCTAAGCGAAGTCACGGACTCATGTAAGATGGAGTTGAGAATGCTGGAGGCGGCAGCAAAAGATTGCAGTGCCAGGGCCACAACCAATTTGTGGGGACACGCCAAATGCTCTGCCGTCGGCCAGGAGTGACCTCCCGTCTTCACACGGGTTGACTTTATAAGTTGCAAATAGTAGGGGAGAGTTTTGTCTTCTCATCGCTGGTTTGGTGCACTTGCTTCACAGGACTTGATTGGGCGATCCGTCCTATTGACAAAGGCTTTCTAGCCAATTTTTTGCTGTTGCAAACCACCTGAAGGAGCTGTTTTTTGCGACTTGCAGGACCAGAACGACCTCTTCGTGCAAGCTTTCCAGCTGGCAGAGTATCGAGGTAAGTCCGATGCTTCCGCCGCGCTCGTCCTCCGTGGTTTGAGCTTGTCGACATTGTGGTCGTACTTTCCAACCCGTGATAGTTCATTCCCACTTGTCTTAGATTTTGAAAGATAAGGACTTAGGCAAAGATGGACTGCGCCGATAAAGCTGACCCTTTCAGAGCAGTGCCTACCTTTGGAGCCTGTCGCTCCAACTTCCTCCTGAAGATGAGTGGTAGTTTGAGGGACGACCCTTTCTGGGTTCGGCATCTTGCAAGCGATTGCGCCTTTTTCTGATTTGACACTATAATGACTGACCGAGCCAGCTTCCGGGCGGGACTTCAGCGGCCATCAAACCTAGGCTGTCCTCTAATCCCGCTGAAGTCCTGATTTCATGATAGCAACGCTCGAGAACTTTTGAGCTCCTTAAGTTTGGCAGGACTTCCTTATTGTCGAGATTGACTCCTGCACCAGCTGCGACTGTTGGTGCAGCGATTGTCTAGGGCGATAACGAATTGCACGTCTGGGAGCTTTCCTTCCAATCCTTTGGAGTGTGCAATGCAGCAGAGCCCATGCTCTAAGTGGATCCGCTCTTTCAGTTGGAACAATAAGTAAATTCTGAGCTGCCGTTTGATTCGTGCCCTTGAGCTCCTTCCATATCTTCATCGTTAGCCCTTCGGTTCTTCGCATTTCTCTTGGATTCCCTTGAGTTGTTCGGTGGTGGCAAAAACGGATTGCGCCCAAAAAGCGTATGCAATACCAAGGTCGAGCATAGTCTCTCTTCGGAGGCACCAAGTCACATCGATTACGTTGCTGCGTCCGAAATGATTGTCTCGACGTTGTCAAAATTGTCTGGAGTCGTGTACGAGTAAAAACTTAAGTAGTTGGATGAAGGGCTCGGGCCATCTCTAAGCTTTCCACTTAGTGAATTGGCATTCCGTCTATGCGTGACATAGTTTGATCGGTCGCTCTCACCGAGCACTGCATCGAGACCCTTTGATATACCTTGTATTTCTCTTGTTTCAACAAGCTTTACCTCGCTGCATGGGGTGTGTTTCTTACTGCGGCTTGTTCTGTGACCCTCCTCAATCAGGTTTTCCACAATTAGCATCTTTGCTTGACTTACGACCTATCTAATCGGGTCCCCATAGTCAGCATCTGCAAACACCACAATTGTCAATCCTCGCTGATTCTGTGCAGTTATCTGTTGCTAGGCTTTGCCAACCTGTCTAGAGAGGCTCTAAATTGGGTTTGCGTTGCACACGTTTGCACGTCTTTTAGGCCCTTCCAGTGTATGGCAATGCTGAGAAAGGCGTTCCTGGGAGCTCCCATTGATCGTTCGGCCCTTTCTTCAAAGCCGACAGAATGCAGTATCATGTCACCGAGGTTTTGTGAGGCGGAGTCTTCAGGCGGAGTCCTTTCAGACGGCATCCACGACCTTAATTTGGCCGCTCTTCTGCATTTGCTGACCGCACTTGATCCGTTTTCCCGATGCTCATCTCCAATCTTTTTCCCTTCTCAAGGGCACGCATGACATTCTCACAACCGGAAATGTTAATTTCTTCCTCAGTAAAGTCATTCCTACCAGATCGCAGACGCCCAAAAGCGGGTGCTTGACGTGACTTCATCTCCTCACATTCTCTCCCTCCCAGCCAATCGTTTTTGAGGGTCCGCTTCGGCATATTATCCTTCCTTCGTCTGATAAACGTATAGCTGCTTTCGTCGTTTTCTTCTCCGTCGTTAGAACGTAATAACTCGAACGCTCCTCTCTGCAGGCGCGCGCGACAAGGTGGTCGACCAGATCAGCCGCGCGGCCGCCAAGTACCGCGAGCTGCGCGAGAACATGAACGAGGGCGTCAAGTTCTACATCACGCTCCAGGACGCGATCACCGCGCTCAAGCAGCAGTGCGGCGACTTCGTCATGACGCGCGACATCCAGCTCAGCGAAATGCTGGAAGACCTCCAGCGCCAGGTGACCAGCATGACCATTTCGGGGGGGAACAAGCCCGCCGGCCCGGGGGGCTACCCCTCCCCCTACGGCGCGCAGCCTGGCCCCCCCCAGGAGAGCGCCGCCAGCAACCGCCCCCCCCCACCCGCAGCCGCAGCAGCACTCGGGGGTGCAGCTACCTGGGCCGTTCGGGTTTGTACAGTCGTTGTTCGGAGGGGGAGGCCCGGGGCGGCAGCCCAGCCCCGAGCCGCAGCATATGCAACCACCCCCCCGAAACGAGCAACACCCTCCTGGAGGGGGACAGCAGCCTTCGTACCAGCAGTCGCAGCCGTCCCCCTACCCCCCCTCCCAGCCGTCGGGCTATGGTCCGTCCCCGTCCTACCCCCCCCCTTCGCAGCACCACGGACCCCCTTCCCACGGGCCCCCGACAGGGCCACCGTCGTATGGGCACTCGACGCCCCCCCCCTACGCCGATCCGTACTATACTCAAGGCCAACCGGTGTCGGGGTACGAGTACGGCGCGCAGCAACATCAGTCGCAACCGCAACAAGGCCCCCCCGGGTACCAGCAATGGCAGGGGTATGGTTACCAACAGCCGGCGCCGCAGAACCCGCCTCAGCAGCAGCCGCCGTATGGCCAGCCGCCACCGTACTATGCGCCCGGAGGATATCGCTAGCCTGACAGGAACGTTGTAGATTGATAATAGTATCAGAGCGGACGGTCGAAGTGTCATTGTGATGCAACTTGGCTCTGGAGGCAATTGATTTCAATTGAAGACACGTGTAAGGACCCCCGTCCATCTTTGAGAGTGCATGGCATGAGAAGAGGCATATGCCTTTTCACACAACAAAGGGTAAGAGGTGATTAACAACGACGGAACATTCGATTATCCCACTAGATTGCCCTTGCCTCTACCTGCCGATATCATGCGCCAGACATGATCTGCAGTGACAACGTGAATTGCGAATCGGGCATGTATTCATCATAAGTTGCACTCCCTCGAGTCTGCGCTTTCATCAGGCAAGTGGCTGCTGCGGGCCTTCGATCATAAGTTCTAGCTCGAGATCTAAGCATGATCCGAGGCATGCTAATTCAAACAGCAGATCGACCATGTTTGCACATGGATTCTAGAGTAACATAGTAGCTCATGACTCACTGACTGTTATCATCATGCATGCATTCATACACTGCGCATGTTTTAAGTAAGCGCATACGTACACGTACATGGCCGCCGGGCGTGTACGTGCGCGTGTCAGCTAGCTTCAGTGACGAGTCGATCACGTACGGGGGTATCCTGACTGACATGCCCGAAGACAACTTGGAAGTCAATTACAGCGATGGCACCCGAATATGCTGGGCCCGTCGGTCTGGGCACCGGCTTGCACGACGTCGATAAGTTTGCATTTGCGCGCGTGGAATTTACATGCCAATAGGCGCTTAGTATCTTATCACAAGTTAGTACGTACCACTGCCATGAGACAAGAGCCGGTACAGCATGCACTGTTGTGCATTGAAGCAGTGATTGAAGATTAGACGTCATTGCTAGTTGCACAAAAGCCACTAGCCTAGGTCAGATCTGAGACGCCTGCACGGACAGTCCACGGACATGCAGGGCACATGTATGCAAGCTTCACACGAGTTGGACGACCGTCAAAAAAGTCAGGGAAAAAATAGACTTTCTATGGAAAGGTTTGTTTGTTTGATTGAGGGAGGATAGGCGGCGGGATCTGATTTTAGTATTCCGGTACGCGCCTTTCGGAGGAGTCCCTGCCTTATCGTGTATCGCATGCCCTGAAAGGCACGAGTGTAAACGTGTTGTCAATGTATTCAAATTCATGTGAACTATCTCCGGAATCAGAACGGCCCAATTTGGCATCTATGTAAGTGTTTTGTGATGCCGGGGTGCCGTCTGCACTGGACTGCGCGCCTACCGCACGTTAATGAACGCGAGTCCGACCACTTATTTCGAAGCTAAAACTGGCGCTTCCTTAGCAGCTGTGCCAAGCATAGCCCTTGGAGTCGTTCAGAGTACTTTGCCAAGCACCGTATACACATACTTCTTTGATTCTCGATGCGACATTACGTGTATGTAAGCCTTATGGAGTCCTGGTTGGACGATTACGATACACTTCCTTGAATGTTCCACTTGATCATTGGCCGCCTGGAAATTGCATAATTGTGTGGGCGAATCTCTTGTCGCTTATCCCAGAGACCTTTGACCCTCCGACTCCTTCCAACTTCTCATCACGCCCCATCTGCTCTTTCACTCAGTCTAGTTGCGCGGTAGGCATCCAGTCGCTCTTCGTTCTTCACCTCCATGATCCGAATCTTCTCCATGATCCTACCAATCAGCTCATCGACGGGTGTTCGCGCGCGCTCTCGCTCTTGTTGCGCGCATTTTGCGCGAGCGTTACTCCCGATCCCTGCCTCGGATTCCTCCGGGGGCCCGGAACCCGTGCCAAACTCTCCCCCCGCGCCGAAGTTCCGCGCCTCTTCCCGCAGCTTATCTAGGATCGTCGTCTGGCGGCCCATCTGCGCGCGCGCTTTCCTAAGCTCCTCTCTCCAACTGAACTCTACTCCTCTCGCGAAGTCCTCCAACCCCCGTCGCTTCCGCTCCTGTGCTTCTCCGAACTCCTCCGTTCCGTTCCGTTCTTTCTCCCCGCTCAGGTTATGTTCCTTTCTCAGATTCTCTCCGTCTTCAGAATCTTCGCAGAAGATTCTTGCATTCAACACAACCCCGTCCTCTCCGTGCCTTATCCGCCTCTCCCTCTCCTTTTCTGCTCCCCCCTGCTCCTTTCGCCCCTCGAAATAGGTCTTTCCAACTTTCCGTTCTTCCGGTACATTCCGTTTCCCCTCAACCGCTTCTCTCAATTTCCGGTCATGCTCCCGCAGCTTCGCCATCAATTCCGCCTTCCTCTTCTCCGCCCTTTCTAGTTCCTCCTTTTTCCCCGCCCTCAGTCCCCGGGCACTTTCCCCCCGCTTCTGCTCCCCCGGGGCACCCTCCCCTGTCTCTTTCTGCATCGTTTCCCGCCTTCTCAACGCGTGCGCGCGGTCCTCCTCCCGCGCGCGCGCTTTCAGATCCAGCTGCGATAGAGCGAAGTGCAGCTCCGGCGTCTTGGCCATTGCGTACGCGCCGTTGAGCTCGCGCATTCTGTCGCCCCCGGTCCTCGGGGCTTTGTCCGGGTGCAGCCGCAGCGCGGCCGCGCGGTGCCGCTCGCGCATCTTCTTGAAGTCCGCGTCCCACACGTGGAGGCGCTTTAGGGCCTGTAACGCCGCAAGACTCTTCAGGTTGCTGGGTTCGAGACACGTGGCCATGTCTGGTTGGCCTCTTAAAATTAGAAGCTTTTGGGAGCACTGAGCTCTTGAAGAGAAACCTTTTGAGGCTTTTGTCGTTGGACAGAACGACTTTTCACTTTCACCTGAGCGTTTTGCCCCCGTAACCAGATTATGTCTTCGGTGCGACCAGACAGTAGAATCCAAAGCGATTGAGCTCTAACTGTTTGCCCTTCCTTCCTTTGCGCCTCCGTTGTTTTCCTGCCACGGGGAAGCTCTTAAAGTGCTTCAGCAGTTGAAACAAATGAGTTCGAATGTGAGCTGTTCTACCTTCTCACGTCTCCCTTCTGCTTTCCATTGAAAACAACATCTTCGACTTACCGAGGCGCCTTCCCTTCAAAAGGATCTCTTCTGCTTTCTCTGCCCCCACGTTAAAAAGCTCCTTTGTCCTGTCCTTGCCTCCTGAATATTTTGCTTAGAAAGGGCGCTCGGCGTCTGCGCAGGCGTTTCAAGCTACAAATGGAAGTGGTAGGATCTCAAGGAACAAACTCTAGAGCCAGCAAATATCGTCCATTATGTAGACGAGGGACGGAGCACTCAAGAATTGGAATGCCCTCTTTACCAGAATCCGAGATGAGTTTTAAGACTGCTTGGAGCTTGGAAAAGACGGTCACATCAACGATGGATCCGTCAGTAAGGGACTTAATTCGATGCGATGATTGGCCGACTATTCCGAGAGTGTATGGTTGAGGTCAATTGTCACGTCATGGAATTCCATGAACTCTAGAAGTAGGACTACTCGTCTGATCAGGGGGTTCGATGTGACTCGGAAATCACTGATCACCAGTTCATTCTCTATTTGTTGGTCATTGCAACTAGCAAAACTGCGTACGTGGCTTTTCGCACAGTTCTGGAGTCTCATGAGAATGATGTAACAATATTTGTAGGAAGATTCATTTCGCCAACAAGGTCTAAGCTACGCGGTACCGACTTGGAAAAGGTTCCTGATGATTATTTGGATAGTTCGTTTGGAGGATTTTAATTCACTTCTAAATAGATGCAGAAGGGAGAGGAAAATGTGACTGCTTCCTTCAAATCCGCCGCCATGCATCCAGATCTCTTTCTCGTGATGGAAAATAATTGAGCAGCTTCGAGAATTAATTGCATTCCTGCGATTAGTGTAGGTACCCATTGACATCTGACAGGACCTTTTCCTCCACATTGAAGCGGACGTCTTCTCCGATTTTTCGAATCGAACAGGGGTGTCCCTGGGCCCGGACTCACTCGTTCCGACGCCGATCTGACGCCGATAGCCCAAGAACGCAAGCAAGGGTAATCTGGGCAGTGAATTTACAGCCATACACAGCTTTGAGTCTTTTTCAAGTTTGACAACGTTGTACTTTGCTGCCTCTGATGAAGTTGTATCAATTCTTGTGCAACACAGTCGTCGTGACCTCACGGTACTGTCATAATGCGTGTTTCGACGTCGTCAATGCGTAAGCCAAGTTGGTCATGCTGCAGCTAGCACCCCTTAGTGGATTACATTCGTCGAGTGATCCGTGTTGTTATTCGAGGATCAGCTCAGGGGTTTTCGGTCCTTAAGTATGGATGGTTGTGAGCTGGCAATGGGCTGGCTAACATGGGTTGCTTATGAAGAGGTTAACTGTCCGTTGATCAGACGTGGGCAGTAACCAACCTTGAAACAAGCTTATTTAGACCGGTTAATGGTCCAATAACCTGGGACTTCAGTTTGGTAATCAGCCTGGCTAGCAGCCAGAACTTCTTGTGGCAGAATCGCCAGGCTAGGGATGTCGGCACCTCATAAGTCATGAGATTCCAGCTGAGCTTTGCGACTGAGGCGTGTGCGAGTGCCCACTGGATCAACCACTACACTTGTATTACATTTGAAGAACCGCGTACAGAAAATGACTGGAAGTGTCGAGGTTTGGAACTCAGAAGTGTATGAGTTGGCAGGTTTGCAACATCGATCCGCTGTCAAGTCAGCAACAGTACGAGCCGCCTCCAAGGCTCGGATTCTACAACCTGAGATTATCGAGATTTATTCACAGCAAAAGATCCGAACTTGCAGGTAAAGCAGTCAGGTAAAGCAGTCAGGTAAGCAAGGACGAAATTTGGGGAATAAACAAGACGTGGTAACTTTGCGAAGACGGGCTCATGGGGCTCACCCCTTTTGCTAGAGTTAAAGGCCTGATCGGCCCAGAAGGTGATTGACATCTCTCAGACTTGTCCAATCATTGAAGCCATGTGGAGCATGTGGTCTCAAAGTGATGAAAGTAGCCGTCGATGGGTCTTCGTAGTGTCATCGAGCCGTACGATCAGCCCAGTGAAACCGAGTCCTAACCACCGCGCGCGCCGCCGGAAATATCTTCAAGGCGTCCGAGCGTCCGGTCAATGCAGTCTTACCCGTGCGAACTCGAACGTCTTTCAGTACCGTACGTCGTTGAACAGTGATGACGATGCAAGAAGACAGAGAGGTAACGAAGTTGACCAGTACTCCCATTTCGGATTGCTTTTGCAGAACTTGCAATATGCATGAACCACTGTAATCGAAGATCGTGTTATGCTATGAACAGCTGGGGGCCAACAGGCAAGAGAGCCAGAATCGGTGTCAGAGTCGACAAGCTGCTGGCGACTAGTGCAGATTAAGCAGTCAAGCAGCTGCCACTATGCGTCACTATACATCACGGCGCGCCGGCGCAGCGGTAGAATACTTAGGATCACTACTGTATTGACCCAAGGGTAGGAGTGCAGTTGCAAAGGAAATACACAAAAGATGGGAATGTCTATCGCGGCTTTTTTGGCGGACAGATTTGCGAAGGAGCCCTTGAAGTTAGATCGGAAGATCGCTGTCTCAGCTTCTGGAGGTTATTGACACACTGCTTTCCACACGCCCAGGATGTTGGGACCGAATTGCAGGCTAGGAGGTGAAGGAGTCTCATGTGCTGCCGATCAATAGTCTTTTGAGTTGCAATCTTCAGCAGTAGTACTACTGCCTTTGGGCCGGATAACATTCACTGTAATTAAAGCTGGTCTGGTTAGATGTGAGGCTAATCTGCAGACTGGCAGCTTCGAGACGTCGTTCACAAGAATACAAAAAGTTGCTGGAGCTGGAAGTCGGTTTGAGCTTCCTTCCCCGCAAGTTGACGGCCCGTAAGGAAACTGCCACTCCGGATCACCCAAGCCTGCAACAACAATAGAAGGTGTTTCCTTTTACAGCCGGAGTGAAGCAACCTTTGGGTCCCCACCCGTTTTCCGCAAGAGCTGAACTAAACACCTCTAGAATTGCAAGCAAAGCGGACGTGTCCATTCGCTTTTTCACGCTGGACAGCCGTCCGCGTGTGATCAAACACAAGCCGTCCTGATGTAATTAGCCATGGGACGCGGGGCCGATTTGCGGAACGCGTTCTACGATTGCCGCCCCACGCTCGCGCTGCTCCCCAACTTCCTCGCGTTCTGGATCCTCCAAACCCCGTGCTACCTTCTTACCTGGCTCTACACGCTGCTGACGCTCCCTTTCGCGCTGGCGACTTATCATAAGCCGGACGACACGGACATCATAGCGTATGTGGAGGGCACAAGCATCGCGTCGCTGGCGCGCGTCGTACCGGGCAGCCGGGGCAAGAGGCTGATGTGCGTGGAAGTGAAAGGCGCGAGTTTGACGGTCTCGGGGCGGGTGCTGGAGAGCTGGACTTTGCTGTATGACAAGGTAAACTCTTGTACAGCGGTTCTCTTGTGGGTTCAATGAACACAGGATTTTTTTATTATGGGCTGGCTATGGGCTGCTTCAATCGTGTTGACTGTCAGATAACCAGAATTGGGCGGTAACCAGCCCTGGAACGAGGTTAAAGCCTAGTAATGTGTTCGATAACAAGAGACTCAGTCTGATAGTCAGCCTGCTTAGCACCCAAGAGAGCTGTGAACAGGAAAAGATGAAAACCGCCTTTCATCTCGGAGGGCGATCGAAAGGTAAGGGGCAAAGGTAGCCGAGTGGCGGCAGTCTGCCAGCTGTAACTTTGCGGTACTTAGTCGTCTTGTATGAAGCTGGGTTTTACGAATGATTGAACCGATCAAACTTGAAAAAGATATTGCGAAGCTAGACAAAAATAAGGTAACCGCACTGGGACGGCCAGGGTTAGTTTGGAAGTTAGGGGGGTTACTAAGGGGTGCGGAGCACGTACCTTCTAATTGAGTCAGGGTACGACTGGAATCAGGGGTTTCTTGGCAGTCGGAGCTTTCCATTCTTAACTTCTCATTGTCTTCCTTGAGTTTCGTTTCCAGTCGCGGGCACGATTCAGTGCGCAAGTTTGTACGTTGGCAAACCCGGCTTCCATCACTTTAAAATCTTTCATTTGAGCCAAGGTTTGTCGGGAGATCCTAGAACTTTCACATCGTGTTTCGTCATCTCGCCAGAAGTTGTTTGCAGATTGTGTGTCAGCACGCCCCGTGACATTGACAGACTTCTAAAGTTCTACTGTAAAACTCGCCCCGCGTGTGCTCATGCGATGAGACGACCTAGCTTAGTCTCACTCAGATAGGGGCCTTCGCAGTCTTTGAAGCATATAGCTTGTTTCTAGTGTACACCATATCCATTTCCAAGAGCGAACGAGAATCCCAGCTATCTCAAAGTGGATTTGGATGTAGTTTTGACAGAGGGAAAAATCGCACCACTTACGCTTCAGATGCACCTTACTTGATCCGTCTTCAGCGGTTCGCCAGACTGATTATCCGTTCCCATTCGGCTGCTTAACATCGACAGTCGCATCCAAGTCGACGAAGAGACATCAGATCAATATTAAACACGTCCAAGGCAGACCAATCGAAGATTGTCATTGAATGGCACCCCATTCTGGCGCGCTTCGCCTGTATAAATAAGAGCAACTCCAACTCGGTGACTCGACTTTCGACTGGACTCGACTCGAATCGACTTGTCGACTCGACAAGATCAACCTCCTTTCTGCTTCGCCCGATTCCAGGATGAGAACCGCGTCATCACTTTTACGCGCAACGGCGCTGACGTCACCAGCCGCGAGCAGATATACGCCACCCTCCACGTGTACCACGTGACTGCCTTCCACGGAAAGTCGCACGCGGGCTCGAACCGCCTCGTCAAGACTCTCCTGGCCGCCAATTACCGCCCACTTCTACCGGAGGCGGCTTACGGCACTTTGCCGCTGAATTGGCACCTGCTGTACACCGTTTTCAGCCCGGCGGCCGCTAACCGGGCGGTTAACGGGCCGATGCTGTACGGAATGCCCGTCGAGATAGAGTCGTTAGTGACGGACGCGTGTGATGAGGTGAGGCCATGAGGGGTTCAACGCACTTTTGGATATATTTGATTCCATATCGATGAGAGAAAAAATACTACGTGCTCGCAACACGTACTTTTACCTCGCACGAAGATTTTGGCTGCTAACCAGGCTGATTGTCAAAACGAGTCTCTTGTTCTCAAACAGATTACCGGTCTTCAACCTCGTTCAAAGGATTGTTACCGCCCAATCCTGGTCACTGGACGCTCAACCCAGTTTAAATGAGCCCATAGCCAGCCCATAACCGTTCGTGGTTACGGGCCAAAACATTCTGTGACAAGTCGCCGAATCTTGATCGGTTGAAGACTTCGTCCAGGACGCATCCTTGGTTAGTATTCCCGAAAAGCTCGAGTTCAGAACGGATAACCGGAGGACTTTTGGAAACTGAGATCCTTCACCCTTTGAAGCCGACATGATTGGCTTAAAGACTGAAGGTCCTGACTCTAGTACAGCACTTCAAGACCAAACGGTTTGTCAGCGAATGTTTGACCCTGTCGTATCAGATGCGGTCTCCTGTGCTAGTCTTCCCTTCTTCACCTGCGCCGTGCAATACCGTCCTTATCATCTGTTCAATCTATGTGAGTATTACCATAAGCTACGCGTACGTACATCCTCCAATGGTTCGGCCGTCGAACGAAGATGGAGAGATCCGAGGTTGAGTTTGATTGAAAAATCTATTTCTTCCGGATTCAAGAGAGGATATCTTCCGTGAGGTTGGAACGCAGAATTCCCCACGATAAGGGTCATGAACCTCAACCTGTTTGCTGACCACCTATTATCTTCTTACGTCGCGAACGCCACAAAGCTCTGATTTAAGGATGCCTGTACTTGCGATGATATTTCAAAATCCTTCCGGGCAAAATCCCTCCGCTAGAAACGGATGCTCTTCTTTTTCTGAAACGACAGCTGTTGCGAACCATCACAAAATGGACAAAGATTCTGATAAGCATCTCACCACAGACTCTGTTTTGGATGCGATGGAATCCAAACTCGCCTTTCAATTGCACGCTACTTCAAAAGCCAAACAATTGCCAAACCCACATGGCGGGTCGCCTTTGCGGCCGGTGACTTGCGTTTCTAGTTCCTGCTCTTAAACGTGTTGGCAAGAGAGAGAGAAGGAGATTGCCACCTAACCCGACCTTAACCACTCTCGGTTACCACCTGCGGCAGAGGTTCGCCGCCAGCATCGGGCTGGCGCGTTTTGCGGCCGTCAAACTCGTCAGAAAACGGAGTGCATTTTCAAACCTTTCGCCCTTGAGCGTGTACCTAAATTCCGATTGGATATAACCTTAACCGGCCCAAATCTTTTCGGTTAGCCCTCCCCTTGCCAGATCTTCCTGCACCAGCACCAGACCGCCGCACCGTGCGCGTTCTCCGCGGTCAACTCGCGCTTCACGCGCTTCCTCTTCGCGTCGCGCGGCGCGCTGCGCGCGGCCATGGAGCGCCACGTCATCGACCGGGAGCTGGTCCCCTTCGAAACGTTCTGGCTGCACACGGTCATGCATTCCCTGGATCACTACTGCACCCACAAGCTGACCCAAAACCTGCTCTTCCCGCTTGACACGTGGCGGGACGGTGACGCGTACCAGTACGCGCGCAGGATCATGTTCGGGGAGATGTTTGTGGCGCCGTTACTCAACGTGTTTGCGGATAACCGCATACGCGCGCTGCGCGCGCGCAAGCCGTTCTGGGGCGATCTGTACCGGGCGTTGAGCGGTCTGGACCGGGAGTACGCGGATCAGGTGACGGCCAGCATTATGTATTAGTAGAGCTCTCGTGAAACAGCTCGTTTTGCGACGGGCCCGTCAAGCTTTCACCGATCCGTCAAACGATTGATCGTCACAATTCAACGCGTCGCAGTCTGACAGCGTCCTAAGCAGAGTCTAAAACCAAAGCGCAACGAGGTCGACAACCGGAGATTTTGTGTCAGTATACTCATAAGGATTCAGTGTTTCTTGAAAGAGGTCATTAGGATCGTAAATTTTGGGCCACGCAGATTTGCAGAGAAGGTTCAATAGACGAACGAAACAGGCCACCGAGCTCTTCAAGAACGTCAGCAGACGTTTCGGATCGAGAGAATTTGCATTATGAATGAAAGCCGCTCATTGTTCGTTGCTCTTCTTCACATCTGGCGGTTCAGATCCTGATCCATCAAAATACCCATTGAGAGCAACTAGACAGGACTCACGCGGGCCTCATTCGAGTTTCGAGCTGGACACATACTATGGGTTGAATCATTGTGAATTTTGCATCCATTTGCGGTCGACCGGGCTACAGACATTGAACTTGCTTTCGATCACAGCTATGAAGCAAAACTAGACCGAGAAGGTGGGTCCAATCGCGGCCTACTATAAACAGCCGTGCTGAATGTGAAGTTGTGCTAAACATACAGCCCAGATGCTAGACGGGAGTGGAATTCAATACGCCTTCCATGCTCGGATTCTTGCGATCGAACAACCTGTGTACCTTTGAGTGATCTGGTATGTGCGCGCGGGCATGCGCGCATTCTTCTGCAATGCCCACTGCCCGCTGAAGAGTTATTTTGCCGGACGTCCGACTCGCCCAAGCTGCCGGATGCCATCATTATGCGGTGTGCGAGCCTTTTATGCATTACTAAAGCAAGCGGTCCATCATGGAAAACGCAGAATATACAAATTAAATAGTGACGTCGTCGTGACGAATGATTCTGTCAATATTTAAAGCGTGACAAAACAGCATGGAAGTTGTTATCACCTCTTTCCTTTTTTGTCCCCACGCCAATTGGGACAGCAGCAGTCGCACGCTGTGTGAGACATTTCTTGCATTTGAGTTCAACGACAGCTTATTGCGATCCAGGAAGCCGTCTGAAGCCTTGTATCGGACTAAACGACAAAAAGATGTCTTGCCGGCAGTCTTTTATATAAGCGCTCTCGCTCCTGCACGTGCCAAGGACTGAGCTTGGCTTAAGATACGATGTAGGTTAGGATCAGGCCATCGTAGTTGTAATCTCCACTAGCGCTCACAACTGTGTCTGAGTAATTAACTTCGCCTCTGATCAGTCTGTACTTGCCAGCGCCGCCGATGATTGCTCCCGGCTGGCCCTGCGAAGTCGTTCACGAAAGAGGCCGCCTGCCGACGATAAAAGAAGCAGGGTCAGAGGTGCAAAATCGTTGATGAAAAGCCGCTTACCAATGATCACAGTTAAGCAGGGTCAGAGATGCGAAGTCGTTCACGAAAGAGGCCGCCTGTCGACGATAAAAGAAGCAGGCTTAGACATCCGTTCGTGCGGAAAAGCACGACCGACAGGCACACGCAGGGTCAAACATCCTTTTCCGCAAAAGAGTGAGACCAAAGCGCATGGCAGCTTGTCTAGGTCGAGCAGCTTCGGAAATATCATCAATTCAATGTCTGCCATTCCATAGATCAGATAAAACCCGCATGAAGAAGGTATCTGCTTCGCGTGCTCCAAGAATTGGGCTGACGGAACTGCTTCAAACCACTTTCAGGATCTGATGACCGAGAGCCAAGTACGATAATGAGAAGGGCGCCTTTGCCGTAAGTAGTTGCTTCTTTTCGACTGGATCCTTGAATTCAAAGGGATGCCCAAGAGTCGAGGTCCAAATAACTGGGTGGTTTTGGACGAGTTTTGATGCGTCGGGTATGAGAAGGTCCCTGTCAACGGCGTCTTTCTCTGACTGACTGGCAAACAAGGAGCATTTGCTGCAGTCTCAAAGCGACATCGCACTTGTGCAGCTTAAGAGAGCGCAGTAAGACAAGCCTAGGCGGGCGGAGGCACGCCAAAAGGAGATGCAAGACGCTCACGTTGTACGAAATGGATTCGTTAGACCAATGATATGATGGCGCTCGATTCCCAGCTAAGCGTCTAGCTAGGATCTGCACAGCTGGAGGAAGAGTATCGCTGTAAGGTTGGCCGCGTTTGGTAGTTAACTGTGGTTCTACAGGACCACTAGGGGTCACTGCCGAGCACGCAACTTGAAATTCTTTCTGGTTCAGGGATTTTTGTGTGTTGCTTGTGTACAGCTCGGGGCTTCCCAAGCTTTATCAGGAGACAAGCGCCCCCTTGCTTGAGAAACGAGGCAGAAGTTGCCACTGTGTCCATTTCGACTCCGGAGATTGCCACTTAGTCCATTCAATTAAGGACTTTAATTGGCAACAGGAGGGTCCAGAGACATTCAGGCTACTGTCACGTCGTATACGGAACATGCCGTTGCGTCTTCTCTCGATCGCGAATTGCATCTGGATAAAGCTGTTGGTTCGGATTAGATTGCCTTCGTCAGGGTCATTTTTGTGTGAAGGTCAAAATGTTCGCTTTGGCTTCAAGCTTTGAATATCTACCGTTCAGCAATTGAATCCACATTCTGGCTTTGGCTGATCGAAGAGAAGTAAAGATCTTCTAAGGTCGACAGCTCACTGGGTTCCCCCAAGTTTAAGTGAACCATACTACTGTCGATAACTATCCAGCACGACGTAATGGACGCCAATGCGCCGAAAAGAGAAAGGAACTGTGTGACAACAGTCGTGTCAATCGTAGGTCCTCAGCGCTTAGCAACAAGTGGCGAAGTGAACAACAACGTCGCCAACAAGAGCACCGGCATCGCGTATAAAAATCAGATTCGAGCTGTCGGTGGTTTCGCATCACTGATCCTTTGTTGAGCTGCCTTAATTATTGGACACAAATCCAAATCACATCAATCGATCCGGAAAGGGATCGCATACGTTCGAGGGAAGTGGCGAGATTGTTTTGACAGATCATGATGTTTTCCAATTTCGAACCTTTCAATGAAAAAAACATGTACCCAAGCAGAGAATCGGAAGTGCGGCAGGAATTCGAACGAGCTCAGTCGTGCTTTTTAGCTCCCCTTGCCGCCCACTCGACATTTAGTGCAATTGCTAAATAGGTTTCTACTGAAGTAGTCTGCTCCTATCAATAAACTTTAGTCACGAAGCTGTGTTGTCAACACTGTAATCAAAGTAATGAAGTCCCCATAGAGATGGTTCGCAAAATCTCAGGAACGCAGGAGAGTGCATACAAAGAGCAGAACAGGGTTGCAGCAGTTACTGCCCCTCTTATCGCAGGTAGCAAGATTATGCAGTGACCTGATCCGCATGCTATCAACCACAATCGACAAACTACATGAAGCCGTACAAAGAGCTGTTTCTTTTAACCCAATCCTGGTCCCGCTAGTCCCTAAAACTATGCGACTGTACCTCAGTAGCAGTGCAGGGTGCTGGAACGAACTACCGCCAATAAGAAATAGCGCGGGACCATTGAAAGGACTCGCACGCTCTACGGAAGGTAGTATTCAAGGTTGATGTAGTACTCTCCGTTTTCGGACACTGGAGAAAAGGGCGTCTCGTCTTCTTGCTCCGCAGTGCCTGTGATCCGTTTGAAGTATCCGCTGCCCCCAATGATTGTGTATGCAGGGACTTCGGGGGGACTTCGCTGTCACTGAAGACGACTGCAGCCATTGACGTTAATGAAGAGTCAGTGGAAGATCGATTTGTGTGGTGAGCTTATTCGCCGTGCAAAGCAGGAAAAGATGCAAAAGGCCTATTGCCTATGTTGCGATGCGTATAGATTCTGAATCAGGTCCAGTGTGCGAAGCACTTAGCGAGCTGAGTATCATTGTCAGGGCAGAAAGGCCGGAATCGTATCTCAGCTCATGCCCAAACTGATGCCGCGCCAAGAAAAGAATTGGTCCGTCCCGGGGTCAGATTCAACAACGGTCTGATACGCAGCGTTTAACCAAGTGCAAAACGACTAACTGTTCACTTCATAGTGTCATTGATTGGCAAACCGACTTTTCAAACGGAAGAGATACGAGCAAGACCTTTCTGGAACTCGCTCGCTAGGAAGATCGCGCTCGGCGCGTACTTCCCCGACTGGAACTGCAGCGACGTATAGCACTGGTACACCGCGTTTGCGTCCGCCTCGCTCGGTTCCTGCATCACCGTGCAAACTCCAGTGGACAGCCCGATGTACTCCCGCTTTCCCGGGCCAAGGTCGGTGATGCCATCAATGTTGAAGAGCTTGTTGGAGTATATGCCAAGAAGTCGCCAATCTTGGTATCGTTGGAGGCAGGGTTGAGCCCCGGTTGAGGTGCGCGGGGTAGGGGCTGTGCCGGGCGCTGGGCACTGGCACCATTATGCACGCCCAAGCACAAATGATTGGACTCAGCCCGGAAGTTAGTGCCTATAAGGTCAGAACGTATTAGCCGTCGATGTAGCTTTGTGCCTAAGGCCAATCAGTGATCAGGCCCGAGGCTGTGGCCCGCATGTCCGGCTTCAGCATGCCGCACGATCGACCGCCACCTAAGTTTCCTACCGGGTGGAAAGCTGTTCTGAAACGGATTCACACGTTCGTCGTTGATATGACCAGTGACCATGTACCGACAGCTGTGTAGCCAGGTACAGCAACCCCACTGTCCAGCACTGGCGCAGCATTATTTGCAAGTGGCAGCTGGCTCATGTCCTGTTTGACTCAGAGTCTGAGGCAGAAGCGGCCATCAGCGTTTTGGGATCTTGTCGATTACTTGTCGAATCATCAACAAATCAACAAGAAATAATTTCAACGGCGGGTCCAGTGTCGATTCAACGCGGATTGTATATCGACCAGCACTTTGACTCTTGATTCGACCGTGAAAGTTTATCAACGGTTGGGAAGCCCGTTGAACTGAACTTGAAAATATCTGTATCAGCTAATCGACGTACTTAATTCTGACAGCGTGGCGGGACTGCACCAGCACAGCTGATATCTCGAGATTCTTCGGAGTCACAACAAGCTCCTGTGACCATACTGCTGTCCCTGGGACTCAGCTTGCAAATTAGCCTCATTGCTTCTAGAAGGAACGAGACAACTCTTCTCTAATAGCAATGCTGTAGCCTTGAGGGAAACTGTGGGAAAGTAGCAACGCGGGGCCGTGCGACGGTCAGCATTGCGCAAGTGGCAGAACTTTGGCAAGGTTCATCACTGGAGGACTCCTAGCTTAGAAGTACTAGCTTGAAAGAAAGGCCAGCCTCCAGAGCTGCGCAGCTAGCTGGGAGCTGGACTGCTTGTGATATTAGCTTTGTTCAGCTTGAACATGGTCAACCATTTTATTGATAACCTCTTTCCACACCTCTCTCCCAGAAGACGAGCTGTTGCACGGTCCCCCGCTAACGGGCGTGGCAGTCCCCTTGGTGGCAGGATTGTGTGCCGTAAGTGTCAGAGCAAGTTTGTTTCCTATCAGCAGCTAACCAACCACCAGCGAAAGGAGGGGGGCTGCATTCCTGTGAGATCTAGTGCATCTATCACTGCAACTAGTACGTCGACACAAGTTCCACCATCATCGCCGCTCCGGCAGTTCAACGCCTTCGATTCTTCCTCCCACCCCTTGTCGCCCATCCCAGATCCTCTAACTCCTCCTCATATTGTAACTCAAGATGCAGCTGGGACAGGTAACTCCGAAGAAGCAGACACTTCATACCACCACCTCATATCTCCGGAACCAAGGACATCTGCCTTAGGTCAGCAAGTTGGGGCGCGGTTCGAACAGATTCCTCCTTGTGACGGGTCCAGCACCTTTGCTTCTGAAGATCCAGCGGAAGAGAAAAGGCAAGAGGTTGTAGCATTCATAAAAAACTGCAATGGGGGCAGAGGGCTCTCTCGGAAGGACCAGAACTGGCTGCTCAGCTTTGCTGAGATTCCTGGATTGAAGAATGACAAAGATGTGCAGAAGCATATTGACACGCTCCCAAGACCGGTGAGGCCCCGACGTGATACTATCTCTTGTGAGCCTGACTCTGTTTTGGCAGCTTGTAGGCCTGGCAAGACAAGGGAACGCCTTTGATGGCAGAGTAAAAATTGAGCTACATTTTGTGATTACTGTCTCACAGCAAAAGCCTCAATGTTCAGAGGACTTCTCTTGCCCCCCTGGCTGACTTCCTGTCGGTTCTACCTGTACTGCCATGCCCTTCACCTTAATCTTTGGCTGGTGCAACCACATCACTTTTTCAGCGAGTTACACAATCAGCTAGGAATGCAAACAGAGTTTACTGATTCAGTTTGTTTCTTTGCTCAGCTGGGTACGTCTCATTGTCTGCGCACTCTGCGTACTCATCTCCCAGTCATCATTGTCCTGACCCGTGGGGTGTTGGAAGCTGCTAGTGTCAGCTCGCAAAGCTGTGACTGATCTAATGGTTGCAATGTGGTATGCAGGAAGGTTGGTCTAGAGCCAACCTAGCGGGCCCCGGGGATGGACAAGACCTCTTCCTCGACTACTGCGATGCGTATACTGCTGTTCTGAGTTTGTGGAAGGATCCGGCGCACGCTGGAAAATTGATCTTGAAGCCCAAGATTCTGCGGATCAAGAATGGGGAGCGCCGGTATAAAGAGGCGCACACCGGCGTCTGGTGGCATGACATGCAGGTGAGCGCTCCAGCCCTTAATTCTGGGTTTATGTGGGTGTGTTTCAAGATATAATCACTTCCGCACTTCCTCCGAGATCTAGATTCTCACAGCAGTTCACAGCCAGAGTCCGTGCAGTAGCGCTGTCACACTCTGTGTTTTCTTGAGTCGCGTATTTCCTTGATTCACAAAAGCAGTGTTAGGAGTCAGGACTAGTACAAGACAAAGATGTTTCGCCAGACGCGAGGAAGTCAACATATTCTGTGCTTGCCATCGCAGAATTTGATCCCAGCGTCAGACACAGTGCTGGCGCTCATACTGTATAGCGACGGGACACCGCTCAGTTTGAGTGGGCGACTCAAAGTGCGCCCAGTGATCTTGAGCCTTGCCAACATTCCCAAGGAGCTCAGGGGGAAGCTCTCTGGTTGGGTTCTTGTGGGTTACATTCCATATGTGGCACCACGCCCAGAGTCGGGTCTCTCGGAAGGCTCAGAGGCGCTCCGCTTACGGCAGCTCCAGATATGGCACGACTCCTATCGGAGAATTTTGGAGCGCTTGAAACTTTACACTTTGACGTAAGGTTTGCTGTCTTAGATCCATGTCTTGGATTGAGAATCACTGAGTCAGATTGTCTAAGCCAATGCTTTCACGTCATGAGCACTGGCAGGCGGGAGTAGGGAAGAGTTGACTTGCACCTAGACTCTTGCAAACATTCTGTTCTCTTCCTGTCGTTTCAATGGGTAACGAGGGACTACCACCAGATCAAGAGCATCTTCTGACTGAACTTATTTTTGTGCAGGGGCATGGAGGTTGAGGATGCAGACGGAGTCAAGACAACAGTTTGGCCTATGATATACGCCGTCGTAACTGACTGGCAAGAAGGCTGTGTTGCTGCAGGTACAAAGAGTGGCAACAAGACTAACTGCCCTTGTCACACGTGTCTCGTGCTGGCCTGCGACCTTGATGATCTAGCTGCAGGCAGACGCGCCGAACTTCGGACAGAAAAGAGGATGAAGCAGATCTACGATCAGGTTGTGAAGCTCCATGCACAGGGAGGCTGTAATGCGGTGATTGAGTCATTGGTCAAAGGCTGGTCAGTGAACCCGGTTGAGGTGAGATGCGCCTCCTTTCTCTACACACATGACTGCTTTTATGCGATCTCCTTGAGAAAGATAAGTTGGCAGTCCCTGGTCGTGCGAAGTGTCTTCCGAACTAGATGCCAGGTTCCAGTTGGGAAAGCTTTCCGGTCCTAGAAAGCCATCGAAGCTTCAGCGAATCTGATCATGCATCCATGCTATTTACCTTATAACGTGATTCTGCAGAATGCTTTATGGGACTGGAAGGGGGGGAACACAAAATCCGGGAACGTTTATCGATCCATACTACCAGAGATCATGCACCAGGTACGCACCGTAAGCACTGCGGCATCTGATTCCGGTTTTAGCTTTTCTGGCTTCCTTAGTCATACGCTGGGCCCATCCATCTGTTTCGAAAGCACTACGAGGTGAGGCAAATGTTGAACTCGGTTGGAGCTTCAAGAACTCGTCCTGTAAGAAGCGTGTTCTGCTATCGATCCGTGTTTGAGTCGCACAATTGGTTCCTAAAAACGTTCAAGAGAGGGCGAAGAGCACGGTGCTTTTGTATTTGCAGCTGGACCACGGGGTAATACCCATGTTGTTCGAGCTCGTGGGCGAGTACGCTAAGGACAAGTTCGGAGCCAAGGAGGGCAATAAGCGCGTGGCTTTAGCGAACAAGCGCTTTCTCTCCTTCCGGAACTCGCACCCTGGTCTCCGTTTGCCCAACATCGACTTCCTGGGCGGTTCGTCTTTCGTAACCGCCTTCGAGCATCGGCACAGTTTGTCGGTGGGTTTCGACAACTCCTGCTTCGCACATCTGATTGCACGTGCCGCTGCGGCCGATTCTTCTTGTGTACTTTTGTTAGACTTATCTTTCCCTTTTCACTTGCTGTTTCTGGTACCTTTGTTCGATTTTGCTGCCGCACTTATCCTTCAACTTGCACCCCTCACTTCTGTGCAGGCAACATCCTTGATTCTCTTTGGCCAGACTCCAGTTCGGGCTGCTGTTACCTCAGAGTCAAATTGCTGTTACCTATAAAGGACAGCTGGCTATCTGGTTGCAAGCGCGCCTTAAACAAAGTAAAAGCCTGCAAAGCACACCTGGACGCATGCTTTTGTGAAAAGCAGAAACATAGGGCAGGCGGTCCCTGTTTGATTGGTCGCCGACTCACAGAGCTTTTCACCCGCTCAAACTGAGGAGACAAATTATTGTCCGTTTTTCTTGCAGGTAGCCGTCTATGCCGTCGTGGGAGTTTTTACACTGCCCAACGGTCGTGACGAGATAACACCCCTCTTTCGCGATTTCGCTGATGTGTACCTTGACTTTGCTGTCCGGCACAAAAGCCGAGGTCACACCGATGCGTCCTTGGCGAAGGTAGACGCTGATTGGGATAAGGTCCTCGCTAAGATGAAGAGGATTTTGCCTTACCAGGCTTCGGGTTGGGGTACCTCCAAGGTACACACCAACGCGCATTCTACCGAGTCGGTCAGTCTCAAAGGTCTTCCCGGGGAGTACTCTGCCGATAATTACGAGTCGAGTCACAAGAGGACGGCAAAGAACCCCTTCAGAGCTTCCAACAAAAACCATATGCAGCTGCAAATGGTCAAGCATGTGACCGACCGTCTCGCCCTGCGCAAAGCGGGCAAGGACTACTTCGTTCCGACTCGGAAGGAGACAGCTCTCCGCAAGCGGGTGAGGTGTAATTCATTTGCATCTGGGCGCTTTGCATCCTTGGCGCTTTGCATCACGTTAAGTTTGCAAGTGCCGCCCTCTTCTTAGATTCATCTGTCGTTTGTCCGTTTACTTCTCTTTCTTTTGGTTTCGTTCTCGTTGTGTTTCGAAGGGGGTTTTCGGATCGCTTAAACCGACTGATACCGGTCAAAGCTCTCTGCCGGTCAGCGTTTGTGCCTCAGCGTTTGCAGGAAGCGCTCAGTCAGGGGGCCTTCAATTGCATAATCATGAACCGACTGTCCTGACACGCTCCGATGGCTCGAGTACTCTCTCAAGAAAGGCTCTGCTTGTTGCAATCCACGCACTGTCCTCCTCGGCGTCGTCCTTGCGTGAACCTTCTATCGTATCTACCTGCCCCGGACAACAAGCTAACTGTTTGTGGCTGCTTAGCATCGTTACAGAGAACCTTATTGAAAGTTGTTTCGCTTTTGCTTGCAGGCTAGAGACCAGAAGACCAACCTGCTGAGCGTGAAAGGTGGCCCTCTCCGTCTCTTCCGTCTCTCCAGGCAGTCCCTGCGGGACGGCAATCGAGATCCCGCCCTTCTCGCGCAGCCCGAGCTGGTCCATCTCGAGCGCGTCCTTCGCGCGCACCTCGGAGGGAATCCCAGAGGCACGCGAGCTTTGCTCGCGAATCTTCCCACCGTTCAAGACGCCAAGGTGAGAAGAAGTATGGACCGAGGATTGATGCGGCCTCTTCTGACCTTATGGCTGCTCGCAACGTTTCCGTAGAAATCTGGATCTGAATCGCGCAAACGTCCAATTGAAAGAAAGCCCCAAGAAAGTCACCAGGATGCTCCGGGATGCGTTGATTGGATCCTTTAATCAGCAATGCTTGAAATTCTAAATCGGAAGCTTCCCTTGATGAATTTTGCTTAAGCATAAGGTGAACGTTGCCAAGAGGCTGCTTGCTTTCGCTTCTGCATTCGCCAAAGCCCTCGGCAAAACTGTCAAGATATAGTAGAGTCATTGCTGACGAGTGTCAAACTGCGAAGATGCGAAGTCGAACGGGTCTGCCTCATTTTGTGCAGGTTATCCGACACAAGACGCTTGCGATTGCAAGAGCGCGGCAGCCTGACGGCAGTTTGAAGACGGAGTTGGCTCGGGCGAACCCATGCTTCGGGCAGAACCAGCGGCCCGTTTTCAGCAATGTGATTGTGGATGGTGTCGGGTCGGAACGGCGAGGGCGACTGGAACGGACTGACTGGTATGCGCAACTTCGTTTGTTGTTTTCCTGTGTCGATCACCGGGGACAGAAGCGCGCCTATGCTTTCGTGAAGTGGTATCAGAAAACGGGCCCACAAGACGGGACCAGGAGCATCCGTCTAAAATGGGAGATGGTTAACGGCCCCGGGGGTGTTGAGCAGGTTCGGTATGACGTCATAGGCCTTCAAACAATAAAACGGCTTGAGCACATCCTCCCGGATCCAAACAACGAAGGTATGTTTTATGTTAATGAAACCCGTCTAGTGTAGGGCATAGTCGCTAGGAAACAATAGATCAAGTATATTCAGCTAGCCCTTGATGCATCCGACTCGAGAGCGCTCGACCGGATGGATGTTCCTGTATCATAATTATTGTAGCTTACCCGAGTTGTCAGTTTCAACGTATTCCGACACACGTTTTGGGGCTCGCAGCCATATCAAGCTTTGTACTCATGATCCTGATATCATGATTGTTGTGCCATTCACAACCCGGTTCAAAACAGTGCTAGTGACCGGACAACGATGCCATGGCCAGGCATGAGAATAACATCAATGCAATTGTGCCGACTGCTTGAGCCCGGGGCCCGACATCATATGCATGTAAATCCGAGTCGTCGAAGATTCGCGAAGACGCTGTACCGAGTCCAAACATATATCAATGTCATGCTTGTCAGTGTGGGTTCGATACAAAGTACAGATGTGCGAGCAGCATGCAGTGCGCTTCATCCTTTGAACCGACATATGTGGAATTCTTTCCAACGCGTTCATGCGAATTTAAAATTACCGTTCGCCGTGACATGTCGGTCCGCGAGTAAGTCAAACTTTCAAGGCTAGCTCGAATTTCACTTCAATGCACATTCACAAGTTACAATTGTCTGAATAGTTATATATATGCCGCATCATAGCCTCATACGTACCGTGTGTTATGGCGGCACTGGCAGTACAAGTGCATGATGCGGTGATAACTCAGTTGCAGTGCTGACGGTGAGGCGTGGCCCGCGGACCGCAGAAACATTCAAGTCCTTGGAATCAAACTCAACCGGTCCGGCAATGTGGCGCCTGTACATTCGGAGACCATTTGAAGATTTAACATATTTCGTGCAATCATGTTAATGATACATTTTCGTACTAGGTCAGCCATGTCTGGCAGGAGAGTCAAGCAGCATGAAATTCACGAAACATTGATTTGCCAAACTCAGCGATACAACACACCGCACACATGACGCAACGCGCTAGGGGCACGCGCTAATTAGGGTCATCGGGTGGCGTGCAATAAAGTCGGACCTCTGATGCCGCGCCAACTCATGATGGTAAGTATCATACACGGGGCCTATTGGATGGAGTTAAATTTCGAACATGTCGGTGTGCTCATGCGACAGACGCGGCGGCGCCTGCTCGACATGTCATTATAGACGAACACATTGGTTAATACACAGTTCATGTAGGAGTAGGATTTGACTCAGTGACGGTTGAATGAGTGCGCGGATCGTCTAGCTCTAAAAGCGTTAAGCTTTTATCGGGCCATAGAATACAAGCGTCACATTAACGTCTCAATTGAAGAGCTTGATTAAGGTTGTTAGAGGACCGGGCCCACATATAGAATTTGCAGTGCTTACGAGACGGTTGAAAATTGTCGGCCCGGCATATACCTCAACCGCACCCCATGTTCATCATGTTGCATATACATCTTGTGTAATCGAAGTTACTGCATGCCGGCACATGCAATATTCGATCTGGCACAATCAAGAACGGAACTCCACAGGCGGGTGTGCAAGACTCCATTCGAGCTCAGTGACGTCGGACCATGCACTTACGAACAATGTTCTTAGTTCGTTAATGTACATTAGCTTTCGTCTTTCAGTTCCTATACTGATATACTCGCCACAATGTCTCAAAAGCATGAAGTACCTGATCGCAAGTCGGCCTCTTTGAAGGGACTTTTTCGGCCAACGAAGCTAATGAAAGAAGCACCTCGCTCCAATCTCTTGATTCCGACAATTCCTTTCTGACGGAAGCCCGATCGAGCCCTAGAATATCCTCCAACAGAAGACCTACAGCATACATGTCGCTTGCCTTTGAAAAGCAGCTCCCTAAGATGAGCTCTCGAGCAACGTACCTGTACCTCTTAGCATACTGCTCCTCCTCTTTGACGGACTTGAAACTTCGGTGACTCTTGCGGTCGACAAGCCTACTCGCCAAACCAAAGTCGTGCACAGCCAGTTTTATTGACAACTCACGTTCGTCAAAGTGAACGAGGATATTGTTGGGAGTCAGGTCATTATGTACAATGCCCTTACCATGAACGTGCTGGATTGCCTTCAAAAGATCCAAGCACGCCCCTACGAGAACCCTAGCTGTCCACATCAGCTTAGCGAGGGGCTTTTTCAAGCTGCGATCATCCCGTTTTCGAAGGACAGATCCTAAAGATCCCTGATTGAAGTAAGGAAAGAAAGCGAGAGGCAAAGCTGGACCGCTGATGCACACTGCGAAAGGCTTAACGACATTGTTGTGAGAGAAAGCTGATGCTAGAATGACCTCATAAGAAACGTTTTCGACTGTGTACGCAGTACCTAGGCCCTTAGGGCGATATTCTTTTACAGCAACCCTGGTCCCAACACGATCGGGAAAGACGCGAGCCCAAGAAGACCCCCCGTCAACCAACACTTCATATACCGTTCCATACGACCCACTCCCCACAGCGTCAGCCAGGTCCGGCAGTTGGAGCATCTCTCGCTCCTCAATCGTCAGCATGCGCAGGGACTGCAGCACAAAGGTGTGGTCAACAAAGAGTTGATGAACATTACTTCTCTGCAGTCTGAGCTGAGGTATGACTGGATCGTGACTGATCAAGACTGGCGTGCTCAATATTCGCTTGTAGGGAATCCTCAGTGGCCAACTTTGGATTGCCCTGATTGCGCAGCGAGCTTTCGAATATGTTCAAAACGGATATTGAATTGAAAGCAAGGGATGTGGACAGAACCAGCTTGCAAACACAACGAGACAAAAAACCTGTTCTCTGTTTCTCAACAGCAATACCACACCAAACAAACTCACAATGCGTGATCGAATCTGCGCAGCAATTGGCTTGTGACACAACACAACAGGAAGGAACACGAGCTCCCAATTGACAATCGAAATCTTCATAGGCAAGACACAACTAGCAGGTTTTCAGCCGGACATGCAAGGCAGAATCCTGCCTTGTCAGTCTGTGATTCTCAAGCAAGGGAACTCCCAGATCAAGTGTAACTGCATACATACCTTGTCCACTGTTCCATTTGGCACCGTCTCGAAGGATGCTGCGGCGCCGTTCACCCCTCCCTTGATGCCGGAGGCAGCTTGACAGCTTGAAGTGCTTGCAACCGCGCTATTGCAGCCCCCACTGCCGCTCTTCGCTGCCTGCCCCACGCTCTCGCCTTTTGTTGCCCCGTCCATATCCGTCTCTCTTAGACCCTGAGGAGGTATTCCCCCACTCCGCGCATCAGCACCTCCTGGCTTTCCTAAACTGCCAACTTCCCCATTTGCAAACGCTGCTTCTGCCTTTGCCCCTGATCTTTCCCTTTCCCGACCTGGCCCTTGTGTGCCGTTGTCGTCGGCAGATCTTACATTCCCCGTCTGCACAACTTCGAGAGCCCCACCTGCGCTTTGCTCGCCCGACCTCTCCACCTCTGTCCCTGTGCGACCGTCCCTGCAGAATGGGCAATGTACGTGATTACACTGGACCTGATCCGGCAATACTCTGAGCTTCAACACAATCCATCTCAAATCGACCAGCAAGGACAGTGACTCTCAGCAGACTTCTCTGATCTATGAACATGTAGAGCAATCGACACAAGATTGGTGAGTAGTCAAGTGTGAGGATTTTCCTAAAGCCTGCAAACATGAACGGTGCAAATCCAAAGTGGATGGCATACTCGGCGGCGCCATTGTCTGCAGCAAGTCTACCTTGAGCAGGTTCTTAACGGACACTCGGTAGTAAAGTCTGTTTATTGAAAGAGGCACGCTCACTTAAACCTGGGTTGGCAAGGGTTCCACGCCTCTCTAGAACAATACCTTTCAAATGACCACCGTGAGGCTTCAGCAATGATGGGCAACAAAAGCCTGCGGAAGACCCCTTATTAGAGTTTTGGGTCCCGGAAACTCACCTGCTGCCAGAACCACGAGCTCGCGGCAAGGCCACCACCGCGGTGACTCGAACAACCGGCTTCTTTGCAATGTTCCCTCGCTTCAGCTTCTGAAAAATGCCTTCAATCTGCTTGAGTCGATACTGCGATTCAAATCGAAGAAACACAGAATCCCAAAGCTTTCGCTCTGATTGGTAATATCTCATGAACAGGGCCCGCCACTTGCCCGCTGAGTCCTTCTCTTTTGACAGCGCCGCATGAAGGTAAACATGAAGAGGCTCAACTAAGGATGCCGGCGCGTTTACCCTGACAAGCTCGCGGGGCATATCTACTGAATGCAGAGGCGGCAGAGATGAGTACAGCGGCTCCTCAAACTCCCAGGTGCTCGTTGATTCTGCCTTGCAAATAAGGCGGACACCAACACCCAACTCGCTGCTCTCCATCTGCAGCTGCAACATCTAAGACTGATCCTGCCAGTACACAAACCCCTGCTATGGTGTGAGGCGTGACCTTCAAAGCCCACTGCAGCTGTGGCTGCACATCTGCCACCCTGAGCTTACAGCGTGTTCAGCCTGAGTGTGCTCCGCTTTTTGTGGAAGCTTCAACCTCTCACTCTGTCCAGACTGTGTACAACCCTAGTCAACACCTGGTCACTGGTGTTCTCACGGAATGTCAGCATATCCCCATTACCACCAAGAAGTGCTGAAAGATACAAAGGAAAAAACAATAATCCACCTTTCTTGGACCAAAAGAGGCTTCCATTAGATGTTTCAACTACAATCTTGCTGCGCAACCTAGGTTGGCAAGATGCCTTCAAGGGTGCCATCCATTACCAGATTGACGCCATTGGCATGCTTCGCTTGCACCCGCTATAGGTATTGATAGACTGGACCTTCTTGAGACTTGAACTATACCGAGATCATGTTCTTCCACTCACACGATTAGGACGTGAATGAATGTCAGCCTTCCGATCATTCTTTGTGCCTCTGATGGACGATGAAGAGCGTTTCGGAGAACTGCCCTTCCTTCAGGTGCATCGGACGACTCAAGATTGTCGCCTCAGATAATCTTACGGCGGTAATCTACAGTTGGAAGTGGCGGGAAAAGTACATCGAACGGCAAAGGCGATGAGAAGCCGTACATCGACGCTGTTAGTTTCTTTATATTGAAGCATGCAGCCCGTGAAAGGACCCTTCGATCGCACAGATTGAAGATCGACGGCAAACGTTTGAGTCAGCAAGTACGAAACGCATTCAAAAAGAAGGTCAGCCTGACCCGTGACCACTGACCAGTGACCCCGAGTCTGACTTGGGTACTGAGTGAGGTTGCTAGGTTGCCAGTGCTTGCCGCAATGACGTGAGGAATTGAAAAAGACAAGACCTTTCTACCTAGGTAAGTAAGACTTACTTTTCCACGTCGCCTTGCACAGCGAATGGTCAATTATGGCTGGCGGTGGAGGGAGGAAAGGGAATGATGCCGCATCCGCTGGCGACAAGCGGGCCAAAGCCAGTGGTGGTGCTCTACCAAAGGACAAAGAAGACAGCGGTCCGCTTCCTTCTCTGGCAGAAAGGCCTAAGAGATCAGCCACCACTGAAGAGGCCCGCCTTGCACACATGCTAGGGGATGACGCTGGAGAAGTCGCAAAATGGTTGACTAAGAACTGTAAGAATCCCGCCGCTCTCGCCAAAGCGAAAGCAGCCATAGCAGCTGCAGCTGGACAACCTGACAGCGCCAATGCTAATGGCAAAAGGAACAGGCCGCAGATGCAGAACTTGTTTGCAGAAGATTCAAGTGAAGAGGAGGATGAGCTGAATGTAGATGCTGGCGGCACTGAGGCCGCAGGCAGACGGGCACGCAGAGAGCCTTCGGTGGAGCATTCAGGTTCCGAATACAAAGAGGGTGAGGATGGTGAAGAGGAGACGGATAGTTTCGAGACGATGACCTGGAGGAGGAGGATGCTGCTAAGGAACTGGGTACCGAGGAGGCTGAGGATACCGAAAAGAGTAAGGCAACTTTCAAACTGTAATTTCAAATGGATTGGATTCTGCAATGCTTTTTTGTGATCCCACAAAGTAGCCAGTGTTTAGCAGCAAGTCAGCCCTGCAATCAAGAGATTAAGGCTGGGAACATGTCAAAGGGAGGATAACACCAGATTGACGTCGCGCACTAGCTGAGTCCTGGTCTTGGTAGCTATACAGGTCTCGTCCACCTTGATGCCATTTGGGATAGCTGCCATAGTTTGTTTCCGCCATGTATACAGTTCCCTATTGAAGGTGACCTTTCAGAGAAGGCAAGCTGCATTCAGCAGAATATCATACATTTTTGTGGACACTTCATCCAAGTATATTAGAGCATTCAAGGCCTACTAAGCTGTGAAACATCATTCTATCTTCTGAAACAGCTCACAGCATGCCTCTCTTTCGTTTCTGCAAGGTGGTGAGGTTGATAGCGATGCTGCCGAGGACGACCTCGCTGAACTGTTGGGAGCGATCCCAAGGAAAGAGGCACCGCGCAAAAGGAGGAAGAAAGCTGGAAACGATAGAGCAATCGTCCCCGTTCAGGATAAGAAGAGTAAGTGAAAATGAATTGTGATCGTGGTTTCTTGAAAGGGATTTGAGGAAGGTCAGGATTGAATGAGGAAGTCAGAGGCTGTGTTAGTCACCCTGCAATGCCTGATGCAATGATCTCCCTGAATCTGGTGGTTCAGCTGCTTACTTGAAGCAGGAAGATAGCCAAACTCGAGTTTTAACATAGGCAGATGAAGTGTTTTGCCAGAATTGGCCAGACTACTTGATATGTACGGGCGGGGTCTCAAGTAATGAGAGCGCTCCAGATGATCCAATGCTGGTCCTTACTCTCTTACTTTGTTTTCTGTCGCAGGTGGAGAGTCCTGTAGCAACATCCGTCGAAGTGCCGCAGCTAACCTGGTGCTCTCCGCGGCTTCCAATGAAGCCGGTATCGACCTCAACCTTTTGCTTATGTCGCACCTGAAAATGCAGCAGGCCCAGGTTGAGCAACTGGCGCGCAACGACAGACTGGAGAAGTCAATGACTCAGCTCCTAAACTGCTTCAAGAAGACAAGACCAGGATTGAGCCAGCAAAGTCCTGACCCTGCAACGTCTTCGGTGACGGTGTCTCAACATGTGATCTACTCTGAAACCCTTTCACTTGCATGCCTCTAATTTAGAATCACTGAATGAGCTGGAGTGTTTTCGTCTTCGCCTCGTTGATGTTGCATATCCAACTCTGCTCAGCTTATCTATTAAGGAACCTGAAGGCTCAAGAAGAGAACCTCAGCAATGCAGATTCAGTAGTCATCCTGCGGAAAACCTCTTTCTAGATTTGACTGCGTCATCAAGCTAGCTGCTATCTATCCCAACTTGGATCAGTACCACTCTGCAAACTCCAATGCAGGCGATGTTCATAGCACAGCTTAGGCCTTACTCGCACTTTCTTCCTTGCGGATTCAGCTGCATTTCCTCCCACAAAAGCAGAACGCAATCCAACAAGATAGAAACGTATTGTCTTGTCCTACGTAACCAGATAACAAGACTCATTGATTACGTTGCCTGTGCAGGTTGGAGTGCCGGAGCATCAGCTTGGGCCCCTCGAAAAACTCAAGGCAAACCCCAAGCTCCTCAGCTCCGCAAAGTCCCCAATCAAAGTAAGCAGCCGCGTGCGCATATCTACAGCGACAAGCTACAAGTAAACCTTTCGATTCGATTTGTAAGGTTGAGATCTCAGCTAACATTTTGTATGGTGCCATGTCAGGTGCACTTAGCTCTTTGCTTTTTCTGTGCGGTCCATAGACATGCTTCTTTTACGATCAGGGGCTCTGCAGCTAATGTTTTGGATTCCCTTCCATTCTGACCTTTCCGATGCATAACTTGGAAGACCAATGACGGGCCAGTAGTCTATCGTTCCAACATTGATGAAAGAGGAAGGCTTTGAGGATGGTTCGACACATGTACGCAGTTCGTCTTCCTTTCAAGTTGTGGGTTTCAGCCAGTGAGCTCTTTGCCGAGTTGTCCATTTGTTTTCCGGATCGACCAACGATTTGTAAGGAACAGCAGATGGGGCTCGTCTCGGTCATTTTGAAAGCTTTGTCGTTTAGCATTTGTTGAAAACGAGGCGCCCTACTCACTGTAAATTTTCCCGCAGCTCCTCGCCTCCGATGCTGTCAACCTAAGCATGCTCACATCTGGAGTTGCTGACTCCGAGCTCATGAGGAGCAACACCAAGCTCGCACTTCGAGTGGGACCAGACCCAGAGCAGGAGGATCTCTTCGACGAGCTATACGAAGACTTCATCCAAGCTCACCAAATGGACAAGTTCCGCATGAAGAGAGGCCAAGCGGTGTCAACTATTCGGGGAGCAGCAACAAAGTGGTACGACTTGCCTGCGACTGGGACTGAAGACTGGTCAAAGATTACCACCGAGCTTCTCGCAGGTAAGTTTTCTGTAAATGTGCCCTATATCATAAATGTCATATGCTGTTCTTTGCAAGCCCTGTACTGGCTGTACGTCAGAATCTGCTTTTTGAACCCAACAGCTCGGGAGGCCCAGTATTCCCCTCTTGCGAACTTTGATACAGTGACAATCAGGTTTCTCGGTTGTTGAGACCTGATCAGAGCAATTATGGGATCCATGTCCACGACAAGATGTCCAGCTTTGTCTGAGCAGCTGCATCTCCGTCGTCCCGCACGTGAATGGTCCTTGTATCCTGGTCAAACTGTTTCGAGACATCTGACAAGTCCTGGGACGTCTTGCTGACATCCTCGATCATCCTCATGCATGTCGACAGGTGACGCCTATCGCAAGGCAGGTACGGACGCCTACGGTGACCTGCGCTTCCGTACAGTCTTGGCGAAGGCGTGTGGCGTGGACGTTGACCATCAACCTGTACCAGATCAGCTTGTCGTGACATTGGCTCGGCTTGCATTGGTCGAGGTTGTGGTACGTACTTTCGAACCCTATCCAGTGGGCCACTCCAATTGAGTTGCTTAATTGCTAGATGCGAACCTCTGAGCGACTTGGTCAATTCGTCAGAACACTTTGTCTTTGACTTCGATGAAATGAAAGCCATTTTCATATAATCAAAGGTCAGACCCGCAAACTTTCGGATTCCAGGCGGATTGCTGTGGTGAATGCGGAAGCGCTTCGACTTCATTAGGCCAGTGATTTGGCAGAAGTTCGAGCAGCTCGAGAGGAGTTAACGATTTCTGTTGTGCAAGCACCTTATTCTCTGGACGGTTAGATCCTTACAGCACTATCAACAGCTCCACCATGCCCAAATGTCTACTCAAAAGCTAATTGAGTAGTTGGGACCTGTCTAGCTCAGACTCAGAAGATACCACTACCAATGCTGATGGTGCACGATAGCATAAAGCTGAAAACGACCTCTCACTTCGACGCAGCTGGAGCTGCAATTCCGGGGCATCAAGCGTTTGGAGAAGCAGGAGGCGACGATGCTACACTTACGCGAGGAGGCTCTAGCCGGAGAGCCCCGAGTCAGTGCTTTCGTAGTTGTTGTGGCACCGGAAGACCCTACGGTCTGCCCGATGAGGCTTCAGAGCCGTGCAGCAGAGCGCGCGAAGGCAATGGCAGCAGCGGGAGCAAGTGAGAATGGTTCGTCTGAGCAAGCCAACGACACCGCAGCAAACCCCGAACAGTGGTTTGATTAGTCACGTTAGCTCGTTGTGTACTACAAGGACCTGATTCGTCACCAGTTCTGATGAGACGTAGTAGCCAGCAGTAGGAACTCTCACTTGGTGTCTAGAACTACTTGTTCTTACGATTGACATCATCTGATATGAAATTGTTTCCAAATAATCGTTCAATGGGTTGCGTGTTTAGACCGCTGAGTCTGATGGATGCGTGCCCGAATCAATCACATGCAATGAGTTTGCATCTCTACATCCCATGTTCGCATTGTACAAGCTCCATTAATATGGTGCTCAATCAACACAGATCACACGCCTGATCAAGTATCCCTGCCCTTCTTGATACGTACATGATTCGACGTTGAAAGAGAATCATGAAGCAAAATCAACAGCGACTGTTGATTTCCGTTGATTATATGTTGTTGATTCCTAATCAACGTTGATCAGCCGTTAAAGCCAGTGTTGATTTTATTCCGTGTTGATTTTTGGTTGATTCAACATCAGATCGACAGTATGCACAAACGCTGATGGCGGTGGGCTTTTGATGGGTTTACAGGAGGTCGCTGGGGGAGCCCTTGAGCGCTGAACTGAAGCGGACACAAGTGGCATTCACACCAGGCAGGTGAGTAACATGCCAGGTTCTTCGGGGCTTCTAATTTGAGTAATTTGCAGTTCCTCTGCCCTAGGCCAGTGTCCAGAATGACATACATGAGACAACGTTCAAGGTGCTCCTTGCTTGTCACTCAATATGAAGGGGAAGTGACGTTTTTGAAGTTGGAATGCGATAACTATCTGCTCAGGACTAACTTCTGTTGCGGCATCATGCAATTTACGAAACTCGGCAGGGGCTCGGCAGGTAGCCAAATTTTGGTTTGATGACGGCGCTGAATCTTTCTGTTCCCCTGCATATCAACAAGCAGTGTATTGTCGGCTGTTCAGAACTGTGATGTCTCTATGTAAAAAGCTTGTTTCCAGTGGCAAGCTCTCGTTGCTCTTCAGGGGATCCCCCTATCATTGTCAACAATTACTTCCTCAATGGTTCTGCATGGCAGCTTTCGGAGATTTGGTTCAGAAAGCTGCTGAGGGGGCACTTCCGCAAATGCAGAACTTAGACTTGTTGGTCAAACCAAGCGGCGGCTTTGCTTAACCCTTACCATGTTGTGATTCCGTCTGGTTCTTATCTGGATCATCATTGTGGGATCTTTATCGCAGAATTCAAATAGAAACTCCGTGATTGAGGCCCTCCGCGTTTCGTATGATTCTGTACAAGTTCTCTTATCAGTCATGTGAGTTGACAGGCTGGTTTGTAGGTCCTCGCTGGCAAGATCTCTTTGCACTTCGAGGAATCCCCCCATCCTGTCTGTCCAGAATTACTTCCTCGATGCTTCTGTGTGGCAGCTTTGGGGAATTCATTCAGAAAGCTGGGGTTCCAATATCATAAGCTGCTCATTCTAAGATACTCAAGCAAGGTCTCGAACCACTGTGGGAGGGGCCTCTGGGATATACTAATGTTCTGAAAACAGCAATCTTATACTAAGGAATCGTTAGACTGACAAGCTTTGAAATCGCAGCCCTTTAGAAACTATATGACGCAACAGAAAGAAAGCTGAAGATTGCTACATTCTTTGACTTGACACTATAGCAGGCAGGTCCATGCGAGTCTTGCTAGTATGTCTCCTCGTTCTTCGCAATGTAAAAACTGTTCTGACATCTGACGTGTCAAAGCTCGGTGATTATAAGTAAGAGGTTCAAGCACAATGATGAAGTTTGTTTACAATCGATCAAGTCAAATCGGGCCAACTCTTAGGGTATCCGCAAGGTGGAGGAGCGGAGCCGGTCTAGAAACTGTCTGGTCAAATGAAAAGTCTGCCTGCAATGTCGATTGTGTGCATCACTCCTCTATCGAACCACGGTCGCCATAGCTAAGAACTTTTAAGTGTAGGTGAGCAACAATTGAAGATTTTCTGGCCTTTGGTATGCTTTCCATTAGATAGCGGTTTGGAAACTTGAGTGGACTTACAGTCAATGCGGAAGTCGCCTGTTGCTAGCCAAAACTGGAGGATATTGTTGTGCTACTCGCTTCCTACCAGCTAAGTGAAGGGTTTGCCCCTCGTCCAGGTGCAATGGCGCTCTCCCTCCTCCGACAGGGTCCCCGCTGGCTGAGTGCAGACAGGGCTTTGCTGCTGCTACTGGTCGCTCTGCTGAACTTATCCAAACCGGCGAGCGCTCGCACTCTGGAAGAAGCTTATTTGCAGTGGGAGAGCCTCAGCGACAGCACCTGGTTCGACATTTCAAAAAACAACGTCGGCGGAAGCATCCCATTGCGCCTGTGCCAGCGAACCAACCTCACACATCTATGTCTGTCGTACAACCACATTTCCGGGCCCATCCCCCCGGCGATTGCCAACCTCAAGGCCCTTACGATCCTCTGGGCCACAACGA